TATGAACTGTGTACTGTAAAGATCCTGTCAAGCTCTGACAAAGTCCCACACATCAATTGTCTCTTCTGATCCTTCCTTTAACAAACGGCAGAAGAATGCCTCGTTGTACGCCTGTAGATTGCTGTAGCACTCGTCAGAAAAATGACAGGAACACAGCACAAGGATGGGGCTATAATGCTGAGGTATTTTTGCAATAATAAACTTCAACCACTGACTCTTCACAGCCTTGTTTTTGGGTAGGGAAAATAACACTAACTTTCCCTCACACTTCAGAGCACTGCGTATATGCAACTTGATTCAAGCGGGATCTGCTACAGTGTTTGTGGGCGGGACCAGGGGGGTTACATTTTTTCCAGGTCTGCGCACACAGCAAATGGGCAGGCTTGAGTTCTCTATCGACGTCTCACTGGCTCGTTACATCGGCAATTCATTCAAACCACTATGAGTTGACTCTTTTATAGATGAATCAATAGTTTTAAACATGGTGCACTTTCAGATTAAGCCTAAGCTGGATATTTTACTTCAGCATGGCAGTAGTAATAATTTAGATTTAGACTCTCTGCTTTTAAACTCGCAGCTTTCAAAAGCAACTTTTTCTCACTTGTATAAATGGATTTATTTGTTCTTTAAAGCTGTTTTGTTTGTATTGTGTCACTTCACAGAACCACAGCAGAGAGTCTGAGCAGTCAGAATGAGGTGGAGGTCCAGCGCCGCTGTGAGGAACGACAGCAGGAGACCGGACACATACAAGAGATTCTGCAGACTAAGATCCAGCTTCTGCAGGAGGTGCTTCATGCTTACTTACTCTTGAACACCCATGACCACAACTGTTTTTTGTATTTTTTTGTTGTGTTGGATAGCCTTTTAGAATGATTTCTGAAGCATCACGTGCCCTGTAAAAAATCAGTTTTGCAACCACAGGAATAAATTACATTTAAATATATTAATAATTATGCTTCATTACAATTAGCATAACAATTTTTACTGTAATTCTAATCCAATAAATGCAGCTTTTTATTTTTACTCATTGAATTGTACTGTATTTTTTTCATCATCGCATTTTACTTCATTGAGTTTTATTTTATTTTTTTCTTCAGGAGGCTCGATTGGCAAGAGATGAAGCAGAAAAAATGGCTTCTATGGCTGAATCTGAGTCCCAGCGCTGTTTGGACCTAGAAAATAGGATGATGACAGTAATGCAGGATGGAAATGAAAGTTTGCCTGTCATGGCACAGTATGAAGAGATGGCAAAGAAGGACAGGTAAAATATTACAGCAGTGCCATTCAAAACATCATTTTGTTATTCTATGGTTTCTATTATTGAATGAAATTTAATATACATCTTTTAACCCATTCCTCTTTATCTTTCAATTAGGTTGATTGAGGAACTGAACGAAACCGTATGCAGGAAAGAGCGAGAAGCAGCTGATCTGAGTTCACAACGGGACGTCCTTACTGTAAAACTAACTCAACTGGAAGAGCAAGTGCAAAGCCTCCAGCAGAAAGAGAAGCACACACAAGTAAGATCTACGACAGGACGCTCATGCACTAAAACAGATTTCATGCGCTCTGATAATTAATAACATGTCATCACATGATGCTTTTGGGCATATACATACACAACCTTGCACATGAGTCAATATGAGTTATATGTGATCATTCATGCGTGATCTGGATCTACTGTAAATCAACACTCACTATAATTCAGCATCTAAGTAGGTCACTTTGGCCTCTGGCCCCTCTTCAACCCTCATAGAGAAAATAGATTCAGATATCAGACTGTATTTATAAACACACACACACACATACACACACACACACACACAGAGTCATGCCATTTCAAATAGGTCATGGCACCACGGCACATGCAGGAGTGATTCATTACAGTGAGGGTATAAATCACACACACATGGAGATTTCTATTTAGTTTGCCTTGGCTTCATATGAGTTTAAAATGGTTTAACACTGTATAAACACTCTATGATGTTTATAAAACAAGAAAATGAATGCTAATGCAAAGGAAATGGTTGAACCCTGTAAAACATACAGTTTTTGTTTGATACACAAATTAATTTGCTGAAAATCTCTGTCACTGATTGATAGTTTTCACTTAATATTAGTATTATTCTATACATTTCTTTTATATATTTTATAATTCATTTAGATGTTAATGCAATATATTGTTTGTCTGTCACAATTAAGAACTACAGTGCTTTTAACATAAAACTATTTAAATAGCACAGTTAACAAATATTATTGATTGACATGGAGTGCCGACAGATTTATTATTTACCTTAATGTGAGATTTTTTTGGTCTAAAAGTTCAGTAAAATTGTCATTTTTTTGGCATATTTTGTCAAGGCACGGGCTACATCATTTTACTGTTTTTCAGACCCTCAGAGAAGAACTTGTTCATGGAAAAAGCAGCACAGAGCAGGAGATGGAAGTAAGACTCTTTTAATATGTAAAAGTATTAATCTTTAATATGATTAGTTTAAAACGTATGCATAGTGTAGTGTAGATGCATGTCTATGATTATAATAAACGATTGTGTGATTTGAGTGCTGGTCCAATTTTTGTAAAATGTCTGTAAATGCTGAGAGTGACATCTGGTGACAGTGCAGGGTCATAACAAGCTGAAAAGCATTTAAGAAAATACATTTATATCCATTTTAAAACTTAAATAAAGGAATGCTGTATTTAGAAATAGAAGTTGTGATTTTAAATTCAAAAGTTAATACAAGCTATTTTAGTGTAGTTATTTACAATTTTGTGTTTTAAGTTTTTATTAGATTTTTTTAGTGTTGATCCTTAGTCGCCTGTGGTTAATGTTTTTTTTTTCCATGCCACAGGATAAAATATTATGCATATGCAGTATTTGGTTTCATGTTTAACAGGTTGGCAGGGCTATGATGTCTGTTTATAAAATCTCACCACTTTCTGTCTCGATGTTAAAATATTTCAAAGTACTTGGCATCACTCTGGCGTAGTGAGTAGCATGATTGCCTCACAGCAAGAAGGTTGCTGGTTCAAGCTTGGCATTTTTGAATGGAGTTTACATGTTCTCCCTATGTTTGCATGGGTTTCCCCTGGGTGCTCTGGTTTCCCCCACAAGTCCAAAGACGTGTATAGGTGAATTGGATAGGCTAAATTCTCCATAGTGTATTAGTGTGTATGGATGTTTCCCAGTGATGGGTTGCAGCTGGAAGGACATCCGCTGCTTAAAACATATGCTGTATAAGTTGGCGGTTCATTCCTCTGTGGCAACCCCTGATTAATAAAGCCAAAAAGGAAGTAAATGAATGATTTTCAAAGTGGTTTTTAAAAAAATTATTTTTATTATAGTTATTGCAGACATAGAAAAACAATGAACAGAAAGACAAACCCATCATAGAACAATAATCTGTGCGAAATGTTTAAAAAAAAAGCATGAAACAAGGGAAAATGGTGACATACAAGACATATATGACCTACAAAAAGACACAGCAAAGGATGTAAAGAAAGAGAGAAAAAAACGTACAATTCTTCAGAAAATAGAAAAAAAAGGACTGGATCCCTAATTTTCTCACATTTCGCAGAGTTCCCAGAAGTGGTATATTTAATTCTTTCCAAATGTGGAGGTAAGTCCAAGAAACCAATCAGAAAAAGAAGCCTAACATTTTTCTTCCAGAAACAAGAGACTTTTTTTTTTGCTGTGATCATGCCATACTGAACTGGTAACTGTACATTTCGGTTGAGAGTCTTCAGAAAATCTGAGCAGCCAAAAATTGCTACCATTGGGGCAGAGAGTAAAACACAAAGGTAAACTTTAGCAAAGAACTGAAATATTTCTTCAAAGTGATTTTTGCCGTGAATTTAGAGCTCAAAATAAACAATTACATCACGCTGTACACTGAATAATTATGAAAACTTGCAGTTAATCTTACCGTCTCTCCACAATTCCTTGTCGTCACTGTGACTGGCTGACGCAAACAATGAGAAAATGCTACATTTGCCTGATTAGAACAAATAGGTTTTTGATTGAGGCAAGTTTGTGTTTTGGTGTTCTGTCAAGGCTCTGTAAATTATAGAGACATTCAAAAGACAAATCCACTACACAAACTACCAGAACATGCAGATGTCGCTATAAAAACTGACATCATTTAGTTATTTCTTGCTTTAATCAGTAGAATCTGTATTACCTGATAAGAGATGGATCTGACTGTCTTCATAATGTGGGCGTTGATAGCAAATCTGTGTTTTTAAAACTTTGTAAATTATCTGTTGACATTCTTTATTGCTGTCATTTACAATCAGTGCTGAACTACAGTAATTAATAGACCCATTGCAATTACTTATGTATTATTATCAATGTTGATGCTAATGTAAACAAATATTCAAGTTTAACCATGAATATTAGGTCTAATAACAAATCTGTGTGTTTCACACTTTGTAAATTATCAGTTGACAGTCTTTACTGCTGTCATTTACAATCAATGCTGAACCATATTAATTAATGTTCTTATTACAATAACACATGTATTATTATCAATGTTGATATTAATGTAAACAAATATTTATGTTTAACCATGAATATTAATCTGTGATATACTTAACTGGTTTAGTTCAAGTATTTTCTAGCAATCTATAAAGTTAGATTAACAAACAAGCTGTTATTATTAGATTGAAACAAGAAAGAAGCCATGTAAATAAATCACTTTCCCAGCCGCACTTTCTTTGACGAAAATGGAAATAAGTATGTAAAGTAGTGTCATCTTTCGCTTGGCTTGTTCCCATTGTTTGACCGGTACCACTGCACACAGCGAGGGGTGATCGGATAATTTATAAAAACTCCGTTTACGAGCAATGACTGATACAGTTGCGATTTATGGCGTATCCCTAATATCGATGTGTGTTCAGGAGTCAACCGCCGTTCCTGCGCATTAAATTTGTATTATATCTTGTACAAACTGGTATTTTGACACCCCTCTTTGTTCTGGAAATAGTACGCGCCATTTTGTCTCTCTCTCTCTTTTCTTGCCACATCGTCCGCTGCTCAGCTGTGTGTACATTATACACACAAACTGCTGTCAAACCTTCTAGTGTGACGACCCGGGGATAGAATATGATATTATTTCCGTTTATACTCCGGGGTAATGGCGGTTATATAAAATGACACGTTTTTCAAACTGGAGTCGGACGGTGGGATTTAACTGATGTCCTGTCATGTCGGCGTCTTCACAGAAGAGCGAATGAAACGTAATCGGGAACGCGCGGGTGATGGACAAAACACGCGTCTTCATCTCTTCTGACGAGGACGAGCATCTCGACATCAAATTCGAGTTTTGTTTGCTGCTGTAAATCTGCCTAAAGAATGACCTCAGTGACATAATTAAGGACGTTTAATATTACAAGACAGAGGGTTGAATGGAATGAATTAAAGGCCTTATCTCATCTGTGATAAACAACCTGACTTAAAATTATAGTATCTTTAAATCAATAAATAGTAGTACATTTTAAAACCATAGATGTCTTCCTTTTCATTGGTGGACATTAAGGAAGAATTGAAAAGAAGGAACTTTACATGCCATGAGATTTTATTTCACTTTCACTCATGGTTTAAATTTGAAACAATCTTTAGTTTGTTATTCAATTGAATATTTATGATGTTGGACTCAAAGAGTAAGGACGTGTGTCGGATTTGTGCAAGGGAGCTGTATGGTAACCAGCGGCGATGGATCTTTCACCCAACTGCCAAGCTGAGTCTGCAGGTGCTGCTTTCCTATGCTTTGGGCAGAGAAATGACCCGGGATGGCCGAGGAGAGTTCGCCTGCAGCAAGTGTGCCTTCATGCTGGACAGAATGTACCGATTTGACACTGTGATCGCCAGGGTGGAGGCCTTATCCCTGGAGCGGATGCAGAAGCTCTTGTTGGAGAAAGACAGGCTCAGGCAATGCATCAGTGGACTGTACCGCAAAAACAACACTGATGAATTGGGAGTGGATGGAGGTGCCACAGACGCTACTGTGGTGGACTTTGCCAGGTTGGCCGAAGCTGAATACAGTGCCCTCCTGCAGGAAGATCTCACATACTCTGTCTATGAGTCTTGGGCTGAGCAGTGCCCTCAAGAGCAGATTCAAGACCACCAATGCCCTCTTCACCATGCAGATGCCGCTTCAGGTCCACGTCCCAGGAAGTGTAAAGGCTGCGCTGCATTGCGAGTGACCGATTCAGATTATGAGGCTGTCTGCAAGGTTCCCAGAAAAGTAGGTCGGAGCACTTCCTGTGGGCCCTCCACACGGTACTCTGGTAGTGTTCAGGACAACACTGAAGAGACTGTCCCATCCGCTCCTCCACCAGAACCCATCGAGAACAACCAATCATGTGAACTAAAGCCAGTCGGAGTGAGTCCTGCCTCCTCTGTGGAGTCTTTGGACACTGCTGTAGATGTTACCCAAGAATCTTATCTAAAGCTCCCACTTCTAGAGTCTGAGGAGGAACAATCTGTTGTCAGAAGGCCCGAGTCCAAACCTGGTTCTGTGTGTGGCCTTGATGTGGCCCTAAGCCTGCTTAAAAGCTGTGAATATCACCCTCTCCAGAGCCAGAGAGGAAGCCGGATCCCTGTGCTCCTCAAAACTAATACTACACCCATGGAAAGCCCTTACCCTCTGCTGCAAGTGCCTCACATTGAGATGGAGTGTCCACTTTTCCCCCAGCTTCCAGATGTGCCTTCCAGCATTCAGCAGGAGCTTCAGCTGGAGCTGGCAGAAATGGAAGACCAGTGGTTGGATGATTATGTGCAGTGCAAGCCATCAGGCCTTCCGAAGGTACATAAAAGAACCAGAGGATTGTCAGAAAAACGTTCATTACTGAGGAAAGGGAGGAATCATTAATGGTTGTTTGAAACAAATTTCTGCGGACTACATGAAGAATTAGGGAAGATGAATTTATAGAGCACAAATTAGATGAGAGGATGAAAAACTCCCCCGGGCACTTTTCTGTCCCAGAGCTCTTCAGTTCTCTGACTGCTTTTGATTACTAGGTTACTCATCATCCTCTTAGCAACTCTTTCATTGCAGCTGATGTTGTTAGCAACAGTGCATCATTCTAAAAGCTAATTCCAAAAGGATCCTTATTTTTTTGCTTGTCTAATGAATACATGCGAGACAGTATATGCACAAGTTTGAGGTCAGTTAGGTATGCTTTTAACTACATATATATCTTTTTTTAGCTAGGACATGTTAAATTAATCAAAGGTGACTGTCAAGACAATTATAAGGTTACAAAACATTTGTTAACAACAACAAAAAAAAAAACAGAGTTTTGGCTCTGTCACACTTTATAGTCTAGAACATACAGTTGAGGTCAGAATTATTAGCCCCCTGTTAATTTTTTTTCCCCAATTTCTGTTTAACAGAGAGCAGATTTTTTTTTCAACACATTTCTAGACATAATAGTTTTAATACCTCATTTCTAACAACTGATTTATTTTGTCTTCGCCATGATGACAGTAAATAATATTTCACTAGATATATTTCAAGACTAGTATTCACCTTAAAGAGCAATTTAAAGGTTTAACTAGGTTAATTAGGCAGGATAGAATAATTAGGCAAATCGTTATATAACGATTGTTTATTCTGTCGACATAAAAAAAGACTTACACACACACACACACACACACACACACACACACACACACACACACACACACATATATATATATATATATATATATATATATATATATATATATATATATATATATATATATATATATATATATATATATATATATTTGCTTTTAAAAAGCTAAAAACTGCTTTTATTTTAGCTGAAATAAAACAAATAAGACTTTCTCCAGAAGAAAAAAGTATTGTCAGAAATACTGTGAAAACTTTACATAATTTGGGAAATATTTAAAATAAGAGAAAAAAAATAAATACAACTTATACACATACACATCTTTTTCAGCTTAATTTAACCCATCAAAAGGCAAATTCTGTTCAAATGAGCCCATGTCATGACAGATAAAGAGACAGGTAGAGCGAGTAATCTGACCCATAGTGCTCACAGGGTGTATTGTGCTGTTCACAACCACTTGTAATCACTGTATGCTACTGTAAACAAGAATAATTATCCTGTAATTGATAGTACCGCTGCTTGTTTATATAGTATTTTTGTCTGTTTATCATGGGTTTTATTAGAAACTCAGGCAACAATGATTAAAACACTTCAGTAACATGCTTTGAGAATCCACAAAAAAAAAGCTATATTAATGTAGCGAATAATTATTACTAATACAAAAATCGGTATATATAGACAGAGAAATGACTAAGTGAAAATGAAAAACAAGGAAATGAACGGCATGCCGCCATGGAAAAATAGGACTTCCTGAGGAAGTTGTAGAGTGCTGTAGAGTTATTGAGCTATAGTCATAACTGTTCGTTCAGCACTTTGTTCTCTCTTATTTACAGTACACTGCTGTATTTATTAGTGAATATAATCATTTAGTAATCACAGACTGCTATATTTTGCAGTTATATATTAAAACTAAAACACAAAACAATATTGCAGTATTTTTAACTTCAGTGCAATGAATATTCAGTCAGACATAATGAAGACTTATTTGAATTAGTAGCAGAAGCAGACAATTTGCATTGCTGTCTTTGAAACAATTGAGTTTTTAAATATTTGTGTGATCTGTCTGTGTTTCAGAGGTTGATTGAGGAGCAGCAATGTCATCTGGCGGAGTATGAAAACGCAGCGGGACAGTGTGTGAATGAGCTGCAGAAGGCCCAACAGCAGGTGCAGTCTCTCCAGACCAAGATCCGAGACAGTGAAGCCAGTAATAAGGTACTGATATTGAATGTATAAGCTTCAGTCATTTGTCTTTTGACTGTTGTGTTTGTATGAGGCACTGTAGCTGCAGATTCTGCTGAGGCTTTTTGTCTCAGCAGGCATGACAGTCATTAAATTGTTGTTGGACTGTGCTCTTTGTTTTGTGTGTGTGTGTAGAAGTTACAGCAGAAGCTTCGGGACATGGAAAATGAACTACGCTCTGTCAGAGAAGCAGCATGTGGTCAGGAGACAACAATACAGACCTTGGGTGACTCACTCAGTACTAAAGACTATGAGGTATGTCTGCAACTAAAGCAGTGATGAGAATTTCAATTAATCCTTACAGATGCATGCCTTGGGCTGCTATATAATGCATGAGGGGGGGAAAGAAAAAAATAATTATAACGTAGTATGACCACTTAGTTTATCAATAACTATTCGTTGTGTTATATGTTGTGATTTTTATTTTACATTTTTTTATTTTTATATATATATATATATTTTATATAATTTATTTTTTCACTGTTACTTTTAATTTCTTTAGGTAATTAAATATATATTTTTTTGTATATTATTTGTATTAATAATATAAAGCAATGCTCCTTTATGTTAGATTACTGATCTCCAGCGGGTCATTGAGGAGCAGAAGGAGCTTCTGTGCTCTCTAAAGCAACAGAACAACCATTACCAGCTTCAGCAGCAGCAGGTTGGAGTCCTTTTTCAATAAAGCTCATTCACATCAGTTCTACTAAATGCATTGCACCTACAGCCACGAGAAAATGAAATAAACCTATTTTGATGACTATATCTGGGTCTGTCTCTTTGCAGGTGTCTGGAGTTACTCCTAGTCATCTGCAGGCTGATCTGCTGGACCTCCAGGGCTCTCTGTTCTCAGCCCAGCTGGAGCTCCAGGGCCTTCAGAGGACACAGCAGCAGAGCCAGAGGAGGGAAGACGACCTGACCCGTGCAAACCAGCGCCTCCAAACTGACCTGCAAGGAGCCGTACAACGACACCGGGAGGCAGAGAAGCACAACCAGGACCTGCTGACTGCTCTAGAGAGCGCTCGAGCCAAACTACTGCAAACAGAGGAAAAATGGAGAGATGAAGGAAGACAGAGAGAGAACGAGGTGGAGGAAAGAGAGAAGACCATCCGAGAACTGAAGACCTCACTGGAACACAAAGAACGTCTGGTACAAGTAAGACGAGCAAACAATTTTTTATTATTATTATTTATTTGTTTATTATTATTATTCAATTACATACAAATACAGCTTTATATAGCGTATTGTCTGAGAGTTTGTGCTGATAGACCTACTGTAAGGAAGTTAATATTTATATAGCCTACTGTTTAATGCTAAATACTCTTCTGTTTAATCAGGACTACAGTGAGCTGGTGGATGGTCAGAAAGAGCCTGCTGGGAATAGAGACAACCTTATTCAAAAGCTCAAACAACGAATTCAGGAAAGAGATCGGGCACTGGAGGTAAATAAACACACAAACGTTATGAAACACTGTATGCGGAAGTACTTAATAGATTATTTATTTTATATTTTTGTTTAAGGATATTAATTAATTAATAATAATTGAAATTTTTTTCTAGTCTTTTATCTGTTGTTATTAAATATTAAACCAGCCTTTAATGCTCATGAATGCAGTTGCATTTATTTATTCAAAAACAGTAATGTTTTGAAATATTATTACAGTTTAATTTTATATTCTATATAAATTTAAAAAAAGTTTATTTAATTTTATAATATTATAATATAATTTTATCAAATATATTTTTTCACATTTATTCCAGTCTTCATTGTCACATGTAATATTAGAAATCACTTTAATGGACTGAGCTGTTGCTTATCATTTTATTATCAAAATAGTAGGCAGTTTTACATTTTTTGCAAACCATTGTATATTTTCTATTTATTTTGTTTTAGTTCCAAATAACAGCAGTTATTTAAAATGGATGGGATTATAAATGTAATTGATCTATTTAACACAACCTTGCTAAATTAAGAAACAATTTCTTGTGGGAAAAAAACCCCAAAACGTTTTGCTTAGGATTACTACTGTTATTGTTTGAAATATGCTCTATTAATAAACTTTGCCTTTTCTGTCTCAGCGTGCTGTAGACGAGAAGTTCACCTGCATGGAGCAGAAGGAAGACGAGATGCGTAAACTGCAGCTGTTGCTGAGAGAGAAGGAGAGAGACCTGGAAAAACTTCGATGTGTGCTGTCCAACAATGAGGAAACCATCATGGTATTATTTTCATCACATTAACCTTCTGTTAAAATGCTGAACACCGCTATTACGATCTGTTCAGAACTGTATTCATGTGCTCATCTGTGCAGAGTCTGGAGATGCTGCTGCGTGGTAAAGGTTTGGAGCTGGAGCAGGTGTGTGAGGCCTGGCGCAGTGCTCAGGGTGTTCACAGTGAAAGAGAAGAGTCATACATGCGCAGCCTGAGGGAAAGAGATGCTTTAATCAGTCAGCTGCAGACTTCACTGCACACTCGCACCAAAGAGGCAGAGGTGAACACATGCTACAGATTGATTGTATACTACAGTGAAGACTTGAGAATATAAAAAAAAATTCTATATACAATACAATTGTAAATAATATTATTACTATGTAAAATAATACTATTTTCTACATTTTAAAACTATTTTCTCTTTTATAATATAATTAAATGCAAGTTATTCCTGTAAAGGTTAAGCTGTTGTATTACACTATTTTTAAATGTCCCATAATCCTTTAGAAATCATTCTTATACAATGATTTTGGAGCACCATGATTAAAAATAATTCTTATTGTTTTCAATAAATTGTTTTCAGGAGTTTAAAAGAACGGCATTTATTTGAAATAAAAGTTTTTGTTACATTCTTAATACAAATATTTGAAGCAGCACATCTGTTTTCAACCTTTTATATTAATAAGAAATATTTCTAGATATATATGATGTATGATATAATATGTCTGAAGGATCATGTGGCACTTTAATTGTACTAATATATCACAATATTGCTATATGTTTAGCAAATAATAATCTAGATAAGACTACAAAGCAAACAAACAAAAACTCCATTGTTCCAATAAAGTCAAGTCAAGCTGAGCTTTATTGAACATACAGTGAAATGAAATGACAGAACCACTGTGCTATATAAAAAAACAAAATCATAAATACTGAATGTAAAACTATTTAATACCCATACAAAACCTATACATAGTTTACATACCGGAGCAGTAATCTAACTATACCAATTACTACCTATGCTTTTACTATAAATACTTAACTATACACATAACCTAAGACAGACTATACAAGTACTTTTACATAATACAGCACAATATTGTGCAAGATTTCTCTGGGATCATTAAATTCCGTTGGCCTCATTTTTATCTCGTTGACTTCTCTGCAGGAAATGACTGCAGTTTTGCTCAGTAAGGTGTCAGTCGGGGCCGGTGAGGTGGCAGAGGAGCTCAAGTCTCGGCTGCAGCTGAAGGAGCGCTTATTCCAGGAGCTTCTTTCAGACCGCAGCAGACAGACTCAAGAGCATCACTCACAGGTCCAGGACCTGCTCAACACCATCAGCTCAAGAGAGCATTACATCAAGGTGACATGCTATCACTCATCTAAAAATAAATATATTTTATACATTTGAAGTCAAAATTATTGGCCCCCCCTATATACTTTCCCCCGATTTTTGTTAAACGGAAATAATTTTTTCAGCACATTTCTAAATGTACTGTGATAGTTTTAATAACTCTCTTTTATCTTTGCCATGATGACAATAAATATTTTATAATTTTTTTTTTAAAATACTAGTACTCAGCTTAAAGTGACATTTAAATGCTTAACTTATAGTATATATCGTGACAAATTCCTTGCTCTTTTAAACATCATTTGGGAAATATTTGACAATAATTTTGACTTCAACCTTATATTTAATAAAATTTATCTTTAATATATATATAAGTTAATCCAATGTGCCTTCTGGACTTTAAATTTCTTTTTTTTTTTTACATCACAATCAATCTCGCAGGATTCGGCAGGGCGTGTAGGTCAGGTTATGGCCGAACAGACAGCTCGATTGCAGGAGCTACGAAAGCAACTCGGGTCAGCAAACCCTGAGTTGACCCAAGAAGACACACAAGCACTTATGGATGAGCTCCAGATGACTCTGCGCAGAGAAAGAGAAGCCCAGACCCAGCTCAGCATCCTGCGTGCCACCTTAGCATCCTACCAAGACCAGCTCCAAACCCAAACCTCAGATCTAGATGCCTTGAGCAGGACAGCGAGCGTCAAAGAGGAAATCATCAAGGTTTGTGTGCTAGTCTTTTACAATGGGGTATATGCACAGCTAGTGTTTTTCACCCACCGATAAACTTCCTGTGAAAGTTTAATGTGACTATTTTCAATTACATACGGTTCCTTTTACAGCATCAATGTTGTAATGTAATTAAAATCCATTCATTTAAATAGACTTAAGCATTCATTTAGTTGTTAAAGAGTACAAAATTTTAAACAGAAGCGCCGTCAGAAGCACCAGACAAGTGCAGGAACCATTGAAAATAACTGTGGTAAAATAAATTTCCATATTTTAAAGACATGGCATGAAACAATGTAGTTTAAAGCAGTGCTTCTTGTACAGTTTGAGACCCTCTTTATATTGTATATCAATCAGGCAGTGAAGGTCACTGATTTTTAAAGAAAACAGACCTTAAACACAGAAATAAACCGGAATTGCTTGTACTGGGTTACTGAAAATTTAAAAGTCCTTGTGCATATAGCCTATAGTCTTTCTTTTTTTGAGATATATTGAACACATTTGTTTATCAGGACCTTCAGATGCAGTTGGTGGAGCCATCTGATTTACCACTGGTAGAGCGACTGACTCAAGAGCTGCAGCTGCTGAGAGAGAAGGTGGAAAGTCAGGAAGCGTCCTGCAATAATCACAAGGTATTTAAAGGGTCACGAAACACCAAAACACATTTTTTGAGCTTTTGACAGTCGTATATGTGTCCCACACTGCTAAAAACACTATTAGGACACCTATATTTCACTAAAAAGTGTAAATTGGTTGTTTTTGCGTTATTTCAAGCAAATGCGTACTTCCTGTTTGAAACGAATTTTTGAAGCTGCGTCACGGTCATGACATAATAGCGTGTATTCCAGCGTGCAGACTGGGCGTCTGTGCCTGAGTGAGTCTTATTACGTCTTACAGTGTGATACATTAATGCATGAGTAAGGCTTGGTTCAAACCAATCAGCGCGCTCTATTGTGCAACTTCATTAATATTCATTTGTGTCACCGTGTTTACACCACAAAGACGCCACGTTGTGTTGGCAAAACAAGCGTGAAGTGTTACTTTTATAGTTTGCTGCCGTTAAGTTTCGTTTTCATTTTCTCTCTGTGAGAGCTTATCTGGATCACGTGTGGATTAACAGTGTACGCAACGCTCGACAACAATAATTTACGTGTCTAAGGAGGATTATTGTTTACCTGAGAGCTGTTCTCATCTGCAAACGCTGAAATCTGGATTTGCTTGTAGTATTCTCTCCATAAAGACGCGGCTCTAGTTGCTGGTGATTGTCCTGTCTCTACAGATTTGGTAAGTGAGCGACCAGTGCTCTTTGTTTATTCAGTTTGCTCGTATCGAATTAAGTTAACTATAGCACTGAGTGCAGAAATGTTAGCACCGCATTTAGTGACCGGAATAACACACGCGGCTTTCTGACGCTACCTGCCGTGTGCATCTAAGTTTCCGGGAAATGCGGAGTTTTTTTTTCTCTCATTTGCCGTGCGGTATCAAACATTGCATGAAAAATACACGCTTAGAGCAGTTCCTCGAATCAAATACCTCGTTTGTCGCGAGGGGCATGAATGAATTCCCTGAATGAAAGAGCCAAACTGCAGTTAAAGTCCAACATTTATTAATTCAGCAAATAATTCGACTACAGATGTCCATGTAGGTTAAACACCATCGCTTTCTCCTGTCTCTCTGTGTGTGTGTGTGTGTGTGTGTGTGTGTGTGTGTGTGTGTGTGTGTGTGTGTGTATTTTGACTCTGAAACTCGCGCGTGCACAAATAGACACTCCCACACCCTCCCACTTTAGTTCCTCCGACACTCCCCCCTAAACAGAGCTGGACACGCCCACTTTTCTGACTTTTTCGAAAGTAGAGGTGTGAAAACACCCTGCTGAAACGAGGGGGTTTCATGGCCCTTTAAGTGTGTCTACACAAGTGATTGAGCCTTAAGTACTATGCACATATATAGTTACACAGATTTCTGTTAAGTCAAACAGTGAAGAGTAAATGTATCAGAATATTATGACTGGCCCAGAGTAGACATCTTACATCGGTGCACTCTGTACGTGTGATGTATTGGTAATGTTACAACTTCTCATACCTGCTAATTGGGTGAGTTAATTGTATTTTTGAAAAGCTCCTGTTTGCACAATATATATTAATGACAGTTTACCAGGATACATGATGTGAAAGGGGTTAATGTCTTTATAGACTCAAAAGCTCCATATATGTTTAGTATTAAGATACATTTTTGACTCTAAATGAGTGTTTTAAAGTGTAAAAATACTTGTTTGTAAACCTGGACCTGGACCTTGTAAACTAGCCATAAATGTCATATTATTATCATATGAAACTAAATAAATAAGATTTCCATTAATTTTCTGATTATTTATTTTAGGATATGCCAATATTTGGCATCTGAGGGTTAATAAAATACTTTAAAAATCACCTTTAAATTTATATAATTAATAGGGTATCCGCAGGCTCTTAAAATGTTTTACATTTTTAAAATCAGAATATTAGTTCTTAAAAAATCTTAAATTCACTGATATATTGTGTTGTAGGTCTGAAATTATTTTAAACGGGTCTTAATTTTCCTACGTCCATGTAAAGCTACCCAATTGGGCCAACAACCATTCAATCACTATCATTCCACCTGAATAAAAGTTTTAACTAAAGTTTTTTTTTAATTATTTACTCTATTTACCAACTCTATTTATATTTATAAACATATATTTTAATTGTCTTCCTTACAAATACATTTGTTTTGATATATTTACAGTAGAGAATTAAAAAAATGTAACAATTGAATATTATCTTTATTTGCTATCCTAATGATTTTTCTCATAAAATAAATGTTTATTGTAATTATATGTAATTTTGTCTTATAATATGTTTTTGTCTATTGCAAGAAATAAGGTTTTGTCAGCCAAGATCACATTTTGTCAAATCTGTTTATACAGGCACAAAAAGCGTACTTCTAACACCACTAAATATGATCAAATCCTGTTGTACATAACATATTACAAGCCTTTTATTGAAAGTAAAAGAAATATTGGTATATTTCTACATTTTTCTGACTATTATTTTGAATGTGAGGATTTCTATGAATTATAGGGTTAACCCTGTATTTTAATATAGGGTTTAATTCCTCATCTAGTACTGTACAATTCCAACTTTTTATGCACATACCATATGATGATTATTTTTTTTAAGCAGGCTCTTTTGGATCCATTGGTGTCCATGGAAACAGGACAGGCAGTTCAACCTCATGCTGATTTTGGAGGTGGGGACGGGCTGCAGTTTGCTCTGTAATCTGGCCTCCCGGGCTGCAGTGGACAAATGAGGCTTTGTGCATTGCATTGTGTTTATAATTGCTAAATAAGCATGTTCTGAGATTAACAATGTGTGAATTAGTAATAACTGAAATCTGAATTGTGCAGTTTTAATTATTTAAAGCCATTAGAGTCTGTCTCGAACAGCGGATGAACTATTGTAATGGATTCTAACAACATAATGTGTAGTTATGTTTCCTTTTGTCTGTGTGCATGAGGTTTTTAACAGTCAATCATTTACATTTTAGTTCATTTAGTTTATTTTAATTTAATTATCACAGAATAAACTAATTTATTAATTTAAAGCGGAAACCTAAAACTTTAATATTTTATTGTTAAGGCTGTAAAATTGTCTTGTTTTACTGTCACAGTTTATTATAAAGAAAAACTTGAGTACCTAAAAAAGCAGTTTCACTGTAAGCACTGATGTGTTCATTTAGAGACATGTAGTAATTCAGTTCAAAGTGTGAAATATAAGTGTGTTTCTGCATGAAACTAATGTGTGTAGCATGTCATATAATTTGCACTTATTATCAAGGTGAATATATCCCATCACTGCCTTTCTGATGCTTTTATAAACATTTAATGTATGTGTTGTGCTGTTCTTTAGCAGTTTTCTTTTTTGTATACATCATGATCATTTTGACTCTTAGTAATTCATTCTATGAAATATACTTGAAGAGAAAAACACTGGATGTATGTGGTGAAAACTTGTCTGTTCTTTCTATACTCTTCTATATCTTTCTTTCTTCTCCATTTTGTCCCATTTCCCAAAGTCACAAAGCACAATCAATGCCCAAGAGGCCGAGCTACACAATAAACGTAATCAAACTCATTCCTATTGTCTGTTTATAACCAATTTAAACAGTATATGCAGTATAAATATATACCAAAAGTCCTGTTTTCAGATATTATACAACAAAAGAGCTTCAGAATCTACAAGGTTTTCAAATCTAATTAGAAGACAATACATTATTTATAGCTAATCTACATTACCAAGTTGTTAACATCATAGTACTTTGTTTATTTATTAGTCAGTTAATGCGAAATCCCTTAACTTCACTCTTGAGTGATCATAAATTTAAACTTCATGTTAGTCTGTTTCATGATGAATATGTTATAAATAAATCAATATAATTAAGTACTGATTTTTTAAATATTAAATAATGCCAGATAGTCGCAAATAATATAAGATTTGTCTTGTAAGAACAACTAAATCTTTGTACTTTATTTATTAGTAAGTTAATGCAAAATCCCTTAACTTCACTAATAAGTGTTCATACATTTATATGGCATATATGTTAGTTTATCCATTTTATGATGAATATGATATAAATCAATATAATTAAGTACTGATCTTATTTTAATATTCAGTTATGCCAGATAGTCGCAAACAAAATAATATTTGTCTTGTAAGAACAGCTAAACCTTTGTACTTTGTTTATTTATTAGTAAGTTGATGAAAAAATCCTTTAACTTCACTCTTGAGTGGTCATAAATTTACAGTGCATATATGTCAGTTTATTCATTTAATGATAAATATAATATAAATCGATCAATATAAATATGTATTGCTCTTATTTTACTACTTAATAGTGTCAGATAGTCGCAATAAAATAATATTTGTCTTTAAAGAACAGCTGAAGGTATTCAGTGTTGATTTACATAGTAGTTTCATTACAAAATGCTAAACATTTTTGACTCCTATTAGTCAGAATTTTTGGTCATATTTTAAGTCCTATTTTAGTCAAAAGGTTACAAATATAAGTATACCACTTATTCTGTTAACTCAAGCAAAATTTGAACTTACAATAATGGAATGAAACCAGAACAGGGCAGTGCTGCCACTCAGGAAATGAATCTTATCTGTTTGCTCTTGCTCTTCCTGTCTTCTGTTGTTGTTTTCTGTGTGTGTCACTGAGATTCAGAATGATCCTGTATTGGATGTATATATGGTGGACTAGCTAAGAGAATATGCTGTGGATGACAGGTTACTCGTAGGTTACTCGCTGTCCGTAAGACGAGCCTCATTCAGAGTATTATGTTCACTAGTCTCTATGGTAACACTTGCAACAGTCGTAGACACTTGCACCGTGTGAGTGTGTTTGAGTGTATTTCTGTACTTACAGTCTAGTTTTCTTTCTGATAGGTTTCACTTCAGATGATGGAGAGGAGGAGGAGGATGAAGAAGACTGCAATAGTGAGTTTGCAGGCAGCGGTGAAGATGAAAAGCGATCCAAACGGACAGCTCAGTCTCTGGTCAGCTTGCAGGTATGAAGGCATGCTAAATACATAATGGCTCTATGTGTTTATGTATTTATATGTTTTACTTTATGTGTGAAGATGCGATATGCAGAGAGCATTTCTCATTATTTGAAATCAAATTAACCACAAACATTAATATCCATGATTACTATGCTACTGTAATAGTGTATTGTACTGTACTATGTTGCACCATATAAAAAGTAAAAAGTAATTTACAATGGAGGAAATGCTATACTATATTTAAAAATAATGTACTATACTAGATTAATGGTAAGGTAGTTTATGTTGCACATTTTAAATACATTTTTAATTCAGAGTGCTTTATGTTTTGAACATTTAAGCTTTATATGTTCTTATTATGGGCGAAACAGTTAATAGTTCGCGTTCGCGTGGGTTTCCTCCGGGTTCTCTGGTTTCCCCCACAGTCCAAAGACATGCAGTACAGGTGAATTGGGCAGGCTACATTGTCCGTAGTGTATGAGTGTGTGGATGTTTTCCAGAGATGGGTTGCGGCTGGAAGGGCATCCGTTGCGTGAAAACTTGCTGGATAAGTTGGCGATTTATCCCGCTGTGGTGACCCCAGATTAATAAAGGGATTAAGCCGACAAGAAAATGAATGAATGTAATTATTATTGTTCATTTTGCTTTAGCTTTAATTTATTTCAGTTCAGTTTTAGTCAGTGTTATCATACTTGCCTACAACTATAAAACATAAATAGGTTATGTTATTTTAAATAAAACAGGCAGGGAAAGTTTTTTTTATATATATTGTACATTTCAACACAATGGTAATTCAAAGTGCTTTATTTAAGCAAGAATATAGGAAACAAGAAAATAAAAATGATTAAAGTAATTAAAAATGATTAAAAACAGATTAAAATGTGTTAAAACAGGTTATAAAAGAATTAAAAAGAAGAGAAAGACATAATAGTGCAATCTGTCGGACGTAGCACAGTGCTCATTCAGTAAAGGCACAGCTAAACAGATGAATTTTCAGTTTTGATTGAAACGTGCCTAATGTTGGAGCACATCTGATCATTTCTGGAAGCTGATTCCAGCAAAGTAGGGTAGGCTGATTCACCCTGCTTTGACTGAATTCTTGGTGTTTCTAATTTACTTGAGCTTAATGATCTGAGTGACCTGTTAGGTTTGTATTCAGTGAGCATATCTGTAATGTATTGAGGTGTTAGGCCATTAAGTGATTTATAGACCAGTAATAATACTTTAAAACGTATTCAGAATGTAACTGGGAGGCAGTTTAAAGACCTGAGGACAAGTGTGATGTGCTCTGATTTTCTGGTTCTGGTCAGAATCCTGGCAGCAGCATTCTGGATGAGCTGCAACTGTCTGACTATCTTTTTGGGAAGACCAGTGAGGAGTCCATTACAGTAATCTACCCTGCTGCTGATAAAAGCATGAACAAGTTTCTCTAAGTCCTCACTAGAAACAAAGCATCTAATTCTTGCAATGTTTTTTGGAGATGATAGTATGCTGATTTTTGTTTTTTGAAAATAAATGTACTGCAATAAATTGTTTTACCGGTCTTCAATTATACATCCTCAGGAAATACAGAATATAAAAATCATTGAGTCAAAAGTATTTATATTGCAGCGTTGCACAGGACGTTCTTCTTATGTTGTTTCTATGTCCACAGAGCTGTGATCAGCACCAGGGTCTCAGAGGCTGTCAGGATGCAGTAGCTGAAGGTCCAGGTCTGGCGGAGGTCAAACAGCTGGTGGAGCAGAAGAGGGCAGTAGAGAGAGAACTGATGGAGCTCAAGTCACAGCTGGAAAAGGCTGGTTTCTCCTCTCTCTCTCAGATGAGGTACAGATGTTCATACAACACTAGGCATATGACTGTATTTAATGACATCAGTATATTGACATAAGCTGCAATGAGGGTAATTTTGACAGGTATAATAACAATAAGTATACTTGTATACATTTTCAGAATAGACAAATGATAAAAACAAATTAAACTACATTCATGAACTAACATCTACAGTGAAAAATAGCATTTGTAACAAGCTGTTACAGAATTTATGCTAATGTTAGTTAGTTAAAATGAGATTTAAATAAGTTATTAAACATTAAGAAATTAAAATCATCAAAGATTAATAAATGCATTAGTTTAATTATAAAGTAAGCAATATATTTTTTAAAACTCTTTTAAACAGTGTCAGACTAAGTCCCAAAACACACTTGTAGCCAATCAGCTGTAAGGGGCATGTCTAGTAACTTTAACAGAGATATAAAAAGGAGGTATTGTTGGGTTATGGGCAAGTTTTTTATGCTTTAAAATATCAACATTGCTTTTGACAAAAAATGCTTAGTGCAGCTAAAATGAACTGGTGTCAACAAATGGACCCTTTTGTAAAGTGTTAAACAAAAGGCGCTTAAAGATTTAGAACTTTTTTTCTGTCAAGATCTCCGGCATCACATAGGCCAGATTAGCAAGTGAAAAAGTTTCAGTTTGAAAACAAATAGCCTATTCAGACCTTAACCATTTTGTAAGGCTTGATGCTTACGCTGCTATTCTGAATCAATAATCGGAAACCGAAAGTAGTTGAAGGATGGCGTGTTTAAATCCATTATTTATCTGACTCCATTGTAATTAATCTGACTCCATTAAAGTTGTTATCATCATTGATAAAGAGAAAGAATCTCTACGTCTTAAAGCAGGCAAAGTTGTTTATTAAGTTAAATGTTTAAATATACAGACAGTAGAATGAAACAAACTAACATACTGTATAAAGAAATTAGCTGTAACATGTGCACTGCTGAGCAACAAAGACAGTGAAACTTCCTTTGTTAGCATATGAGGCTAGGCACTGGTGTGCGGGAGATGCAGAGTAAAAGCCATTCTCCCAGATCAACACTTACCTTTCCTTATTATACCCTGAGCAAAGCATTGTCAAACTTGAGTGAAAACCAACCCCCCCAAACCAGCTGAACATGAGAGCAAAGTTGAGGAGATAAAGTGGGGGAGAAGAACATTAACATACTCTCCTCAGGCCATGACTCAGCAAATATATTGTAGATTGAAATACAATTAATCAATGTCTCTGTTGATTTCATCACTACAACACTGAAGTCATAAACGAAGTTACGTAAGTACTGTAAGCAAATGGCAGAGATGTGTATCGGAGCTGTGAGAAACTCTGCCTCACCAGGAGGATCCCATGCTTGGAATGTCTCAGTAGTCCTTCATTAGCATAGAAGTAAAAGTATATAATATTTTCTCAGCTTACAATTTGTTGCTGTGATGAACATCACTGCCAAAAACAATATTAATATTCTTAAAAGCCACTCTGAACATTTACATTATAAATGATTATTTCTGGTATTTAAAGTGGCCATCATAATAATCTTATACACACGTTCATTATCACAATAACTGTATCACTGAACATCAGCATGTCTATAAACATGCACAGATACAAGAGCCTTCTTTACACATGATAAATGTGCAAAAAATGTGTGTGTGCTCCCGAAACAGGAAAGCATTTTTCACTCTTCGCTCTCAAAACGAGGAACTCAAGGGTTTAATGAATCTTCAAAATGTTGGACAGAAGAGCACGTCCTGCGGGCAGCTGGTGGATACAGTTGGTGCAAAGGTGAGTTTGGCTGGATCTGATGCTACTGTAGCTACTATGTTTTTTTACTGCAGTGTTTCATGTATGCTTGTGTTTTAGGGTAAGGAAAGGGAGTCAGCGAGGGAGCAGACGGTGCAGCTGAAGTCTGACCTTGCACAGGTCCAGCAGGAGAGCAGAGAACTGCAGGAGAGACTCATGGTGTCTGAGGCCACAGTTCAAGCTCAAGCCGAACAGCTCAAAGACTACAGAGAACTCCTCAGTGAGTAAAACTACTAATGCAAATGTCTGTCTAGAGGTTTTGCACAGAAACCCAAGTGTATTTTTGCAAGCCTGTTTTGTTAAATTTAGTTTTATTTATTTATTAAATTTTTTCTTTATAAAAATACAAAATTAGGTTACAAAATGTGGGTTACAAAAACAAATGGGGTTACAAAAAGTGTATTTTTTGAGAAATTGAGATGTATAAATCAACTGAAAGCTGAATAAATAAGCTTTCCATTAATGCATGGTTTGTTTGGATGAACAATATTTGTCAGACATACAAAATTTGTACATAATTACAAAATACATTATTTAAAAAAAATCTTATCTAAGGGTTAAAAAATCTAAATACTGCAAGAGTTGCCTTTAAAGTTGTCTGCATTTTGTGTTTATGTAAAGAATTAAGTTTTAATAAATTTACAGTGGGAAATGTACAAAATCCTTTAATGGATGATTATCTTTACACTGTAAAAAATCTTGCTGCCTTAATTTTTTTGTTGACTCATGCACTTTTCTAGTCATCTCAACTAACATTAACCACACTGTCTATATTAAGTTAATATTAAGTTAAGCTTGCATAACTTAAATTTAGTTGAAACTAAATTGTTATTGTTATACAAATTACTGGCTGTTTTGACTTCTTGTAATTATTTTTTTTTTCAGTGTACTAATGATTTTGGCTTTTTTTTTTTACTCATACAATGTATATTTGGCTATTTCTACAAATATAAAGCTGTGCAATTTTAGACTGGTTTTGTGGTCCAGAGTCAATTATTAAATTAACATATTGTTTTGCTGTTTTTTAAATATTTTGGGTTTTTAAATGCAATTTGTTTTTGTTGATTGTTTGAATTTTAATGAATATATACAATTCTGTGTAATTTGACACTTTCTTGAACCATATATCTACAGAATATGAAGTGCATAAGTACAAATGTATTGTATATAATAAACAAAATTGTATTACAGTAGTGTACTATTATACTACACTTCAGTTTAATGTGCGAGTTTCTAAAACACTAGTTTGTCTTGTCTTTTGTATAGCGGAAACATCGGTACAGCAGGACAGTAAGCAGGTCCAGGTGGACATTCAGGATCTGGGCTATGAGACGTGTGGCCGCAGTGAGAACGAGGCCGAAAGAGAAGACACCAGCAGTCCAGGTGAACACATACACTGTAAACACTAGAGGGCAATACTGACTAAATCCATGCTGTTTAAAGGGATAGCTCATCTAAAAATGAAAAATTATATGGGGACAAAAGAAGTTATTTTGAAGAATGTTAAAACAGGTTTGAAACAAGGGGAGTAAATTATGACAATTTTCATTTTGGGTGAACTATCACTTAAATTTTATGGTTACACCTTAACTATACATGTACAGGGTTCCCACGCTTGAATTTCAGACATACGAATTCGAGGCCTGTATGGTACATAAAACAAACATACAGTGCTCGACATAATTGAGTACACCCCATCTTAAAAATGAATATCTTTATCTATTTCTCAGTGAATATAGGCAAAGTGCATTTAAACAAAACAGATTTATTAAACAGATATATTTATTCAAATAATATTTTAGTTATTAAACATATTTAAAAATAGAAAGATAATACAACTAAATTCAAGCTAAATAAAATAAAAATAAAATTACAACTTACAAAATTTAAACTAAATGTTTACATTTTTTGCTTATTGATTTTTCCTCTTTTTTAAATTTGTATTTAATATTTTTCTAAAACATAGATTTGGGTGTACTAGTTTTTGGACCGTTATTGTAAGTTATTTTGTTAGATAAGCAGGTTTGGCTTAAGTACTGACTAATCTAATTTGCACAAATATAATATTGTATAGCTTCCTGTTAAAAATATGAATTGAAAAGAGAGATCTGTGAGGGGTGTACTTACAGTATATATGCTGAGCACTGTAGGTCCTTGAAAGTGCTTGAAATAAAGTGTATGGTGGTATTTCAACAATTGTACTGTGCTGCTTTCAAAAACTGAATAAAAAAACAAAGAAATTCTTAATTTAAAAATCTTAAATCTAAATCTTGTACATGAACTAAGACAAATAATGCATTTTATCAATACTTAAGGATCCACATTTGAATTTTACCAGTAATGAAGTCAGCTAATTGTATTAAAGTTCATTGAACATAAACAAACGGTCAACATGCTTGAAAATGACACATTCAAAACATCATTATTATGATATTTTATTGTAAATAGTTAGTGTAAATTAAATATTAAGTACAGGAAGGACTTTCATGTTGCTATGCAGTATGCTGAGGGTGTGAATTACAAAGGTGCTTGATTTTAAATTATTAGTGATTTAAAAAGTCATTGAACGTCCTTTAATTTAGTTTCTATGAAAGAGTGGGAACGCTGCATATACAAGTACTGAGAAATATTTTTTGACTGAATGTACTTAATATATGGTTAATGTTAGTTACGAGTGTTGAGAGTTAGTTGCATGCAATTATGCATCCTTTATTACAAAAGTTAGTACATGGAACATGTGAACAGGGACACAGTAAAAAAAATATATATTTTGCCAGTTTAGCTTTTTCCCCTTTATTTATAGGATTTTTCACAAATTACAAAATATCAAACATTTTAAGGCAAGGCAAGGCTAACTTTATTTATAGAGCACAATTTTACACAACCGTAGTTGATCCATAGTGCTTTACAATAAAATAAACTAGACAATAAAACTAAAAATAACTTGTATTTAAAATACAAAGAAATATATTTATAAGTAATACTAAAATACAAATAATAATAAAAAATAATAACAATAAAAAAATAAAAAACACTGTTGTACATTTTGATATATTTAGAAAGAGAAGAAAAATAACCAAATTTCCATGGACCCAAAATGATTGGAACAATTATTGATTGGCAAAATATATATTCATTCATTCATATTCTTTTCGGCTTATTCCCTTTATTAATCTGGGGTCGCAACAGTGGAATAAACCGCCAACTTATCCAGCATATGTGTTACGCAGCGGAAGCCCTTCTAGCTGCAACCTATAAGGAATTACCCATAAACACTCATACACACTCATTGACACTCATTGACACTCATACGCTACAGACAATTTAGCTTTACCAGTTCACCTGTACTACATGTCTTTGGACTTGTGGGAGAAACCAGAGCACCCGGAGGAAACCCACGGGAACACAGGGAGAACATGCAAACTCCACACAGAAATGCCTACTGACCCAGATGAGGCTCAAATCAGTGACCTTCTTGCTGTGAGGCAATCGTGCTACCCACTGCGCCACCGAAAAAAAAAAACTAATTTTTTAAATAAAAACACAGTTGTGCCCACCTAAACAACTGTTTGCACAAAAGCTGAAAGTCTGATAACATGAGCCATTACAGAAGAATGTAAAAAGGATCTTCCAGTATGCAGGGAGTGTACTTTTCCATTTATCCATAGAGAGAATGCTATATTTTATCAAAAGTTCTTAGAAGAAGCTTTCAGTGAGTGTCTAATTCTTTCCAATTTGATGAAGTGTATTAAACTTTGAAGTTTGATTTCATTGACGCAAGCATGTCCTCCTCTGCTGCAGAGTTTGATGATCTGGAGCTCTGCACATCTCTCTCCTATCGGGATGCTGGCTCTCAGTGGTGGGCTGGTCCCGCCACACACAACTCTGGGAAACCTGAACATGATGTGACGTACCTGCAGCAGCTGGTGGAGGATCTGCGTGGTCAACTGTCGCGATCTCAGGCTCTGATTCGCAGCCTGCAAGCCCAGATGCGTGATTGCACTCCAGTCGGCACTCCTCGCAAGGTCAACTGGGGCCTGGATAACTCTGAGACGCAGAGTACAGCTGAAGAGGACGAGGGCTGGCAGTCGTCGGACGGTTTCGGGTCACTGCCACGGCAGCCCAAGCAGGACCGAGAGCTGCAGGAGCTCGTCTCACGTGTGACGTCACTGGAGGAGCAGCTCAGGAAGGGCAAAGGTCATGCAGATGATGGCAAAAATGGAAACTGGCCGGGGTGAGTACATTCATAATATAATATGTAACATGAGTAATATATCAATTTTAATTTTAAGATTTGATATGTTATAAAAGTTTCATATATAATAAATATGTAAGTAAATAAATGTAAGATTAATACATTGCATTACATTGCAATGTGCATTAAGTGTAAGCCAAAAATAGCAATATATTGCTTGTCATTTTTCTAAATATTTTTTAATTAATTTAATGTTTTTTTTATTTATATTTTTTATATTATTCATTTATTATAAAATATTATATAATTATTCACTTTTTGTGTTTATTTAATTCATAATAGGGCTGCACATTAATGGAAATATCTGGCATTGCGATATTTTGTATTTCTGCGATATATATTGCGATAAGAATACTGCTTTATTTGGAAAGAATTTTTCATTTTAGATTGATTTGGGGTGATTTTGTAAAGAAGTGAATCTCGAATAATTTAACAAATAACTTACAAGCATGGATAAATGCAATATAGCAAAGATAAAGTGAATTATAGATTTCTGGAGAGTCTAACAATATTCACGTTCAGATATTGAATAATGAACACTGCATAGTATTTATTCTATATTGTGTAATATTTATTAAAGTAACAAACAATATAGAATTGGATTGTATTGCCTTTACTTCTCTTTTGGCAAGACACTGGATTTTAATCAATTGGAAACAGTAATTTCCCCCTTCTTTTAAACAGTGGGCCAATGATGTGTTGCATTTCCTTAATTTGGAAAAAATAAGACTTAATTTAAATAGTTCTGGGTCCAAGTTCACTGCCATGTGGCATCCTTTCTTAAATGACTTCTAAAGCCAAATGTAATTGTAAGTGGACAAAAGGATGCTGATGCTATCAGGTTTTTCTTGTATTGTACTGATGTTGTCTTCATTTTACACAATGTTAAGGCATTATGTTTATATATGTGTTGTGTTTTAAGTTATGTTGATTAATAAATGTATGTTTTTTGGCTATTTAAATAATTATGAAGGGGGAAAAGTTACAAATGTTTTAAACTTTGAAATGTATACACAGTCACAGGCCTTAAAGGGATAGTTCACTCAAAAATGTACATTTACTCACTATTTAGTTACCCTTAGCTTGTTTTAAACATTTATTTGAGTTATTAAGATATCTTCTTCTTGTGTACAACATAAAAAATAAACTCAAAAAGGCTTGAAACAAGTGAGGGTGAAATGAAAATAGTGAGTAAAGTGAGTTTAGTTTTTGGGTGAACTTTCTCTTTAAAAACACATTCAGATGTTAAACTTTTACTCCATTTTAACTAAACTCTGCACTGATTGTAATCAACTAATCAACATTGCCTATCCTGCGATGTGGCTATTGCAGATGCACACATTGCAAAATTGATGCTGAAACAATATATTGTGCAGCCCTAATTTATAGTTAAGTAAATTAAGTTACATATTACAAGTTTACGTACTCTGTATATGGAAATGTCAATAAAAGTAAATGTAAGATAAAGTTATAATTATATATTTGATTTGCTTTCCATAATAAAATGTTTTTTCTACTTACAGAATTTTTTTTGAATATTAAATGATGTGAAAACATGAAATGTATAAAACATAAAAAATATTTTACATTTAATTTGTTACATTTTTTTATTTGTTTTTTTAAACAATGTTTTAATAATTTATTATATTTGTATATGTTTGTTTACTTATTTATAGTTATATACTGTATGATTCCTTATTAAATCAGCTGTAGGAACTACACATTTCACAGATCTATTTTCACCATTATATCGTTTTACAAACATCACTTTTTTCCCATTCTCCCTGCAGTAAGTTTGACACGCTGATCCAGGCCCAGGCCCGTGAGCTGTCTCACCTGCGGCAGAAGATGCGGGAGGGCCGTGGCATGTGCCACATTCTGACCCAGCACCTCGGAGACACAACCAAGACCTTTGAAGAGCTTCTGCGCTCCAATGACATCGATTACTACATGGGCCAAAGCTTCAGAGACCAGCTCTCTCAAAGCATCTCGCTCGCACAGAGAGTCAGCACCAAGATCAGCGGTCGTAAGTCACAAACATACATATCTCAATTCTCGTACAAAAACATTGCACTGAATTATTTCATCCTCGCAGGAGATCACTCTGAAGTCCCAGATGATAAATCAGGCCATGAGCTGCTTGCAATACGGTGAGTCAGCTGAACACTTTATTGATCAGAGCTTGTCGTTAAATCAGGTTTCCCTTTGCTGTCAGTAAACCAAATCAGCCAGAACATGTGATGAGTACAGCACACAGGCCATATTGATTGGTTGATATTTCTTTCCCATTGAGCGACTGGACTGACACAGTTAAACCCCCAATGAAGAGGTTCTAAGAAATGTCTTAGCTCAGCTTTTTAACTAAGTATAATTGGCTGCATTGTTTTGCTTGTTCACAAAGCAGGGCAGATTCTTATGTAATGATTAGTTTGGTTGTGTGTGTATTTGGTGGATGTTTTGGTGTCCTATTGACTTGGACACCAGCTGTCATGAGTTTTCCACACAGTGAGCATCATGGAAATGTTTGTCTGCGCTGGATGGGTCAATGTGAAAGATTATTTTAGTAATTAGACATGGTCAAGTCATTGACAAGTATCTTAATTCTGCAAACATCCTTAGGCTGACATTTTGACTGCAAAGTATACCTTATAATAGGGCTGCATGATATTGTAAAAAACATTGAGATATTTTGTTATTCTGCGATTATAGATCGCGATATAAATACGATTTCACCAGTAGTCTTTATAATAGCTTCATTTGGAAAGAATTTATCATTTTAGATTGATTTGAATGATTCTGTAGGAAAGTGCTTCTGCATAAAGTACAATAAACTAATTAAACACATAGATAAATACAATTAAGAAAAAGATACATTTGAAATAAGCAGTGTTTTACTGTTTTCCAAGACTAAGTGTTTAGGGACAGTGATTGAATAATAATTCAGTAAAATAAATAATTTATTAAAGCTACAAACACAAGTGACAAACAGAGTTTCTTATGCCGGAATGCTTTTAAAAAACCTCATACAGTCAAAGGCCTCATAAAACACAGGCAAATAATAAATTAATATTTATTATCCTTTATTATTGCATATCCTGCGATGTGACTATTGTGAATGGTGACATTGCGAAATCGATATGTTTTCAGCCCTACTATATAAACACATTCATGAAATACTGTGAATATAAACACCAATTGGAAAACATGAGATCAATTGGAATTTCTCTGTTTGTGTGGATTTATAATTTATAGTTAGGGGTTGAGTAATGTTTTTGAGTTTATGTTTTTTGTTTTATTTTTTGAACAACTGATGGCATTTCTTCACATTTAAAACAAAAAAGGTTCGTCTATTAGAGAATTTTGTATTTATTTTTAGATAACACAATAACATTTGGTGGAATTGTCCTGATTTTCAATCTATACAAATGGAAGGATTTCTTATTTTGACAAATTGTCATTTTCTGAAGAAAAATACAACAACAATATAATACATTTAATAATATAATATAACATGATACATATGAAAATATATTTTTTAATTTGATAGAAGCATTATAAAATATATAAAAAAATATAGTATATTTATATTAAAAATATAGTTATTTTAGAATAACACAAAAGTTAACACAAATGTAAAACCCATACATAGTAAATCCAGATCATTTCTGGTCTTTTAATTTGTCCATAGCTGAATGTGTGTATATACAGTTGAAGTCAAAAGAATACAAGAAATCAGTTACTAGAAATTAGATATTAAATTATTATGTTTAGTAATGTGTTGCGAAAAATCTCTTCTTTCCATTCAACAGAAATTGGGGAATAAATATACAGCGGGGCTTATAATTCAGGAAGGCTAATAATTCTGACTTCAACTGTATTTATTATCCAGAACACGACTGCCAGGCTTTCAGCTACTTTGCCCCCCACTGCTGAAATCAGCTTCCAGAAATGATCAGATGTGCTCCAACATTAGGCACATTTAAATCAAGACTGAAAATTCATCTGTTTAGCTGTGCCTTTACTGAATGAGCACTGTGCTACGTCCGACAGATCACACTATTATGTCTTTTTTTTTTTCATTCTTTTATAACCTGTTTTAACACATTTTAATCCGTTTTTAATACATTTTATTTTCTAGGTTTCTTTTATTTTCTATCTTTAGGTTTCTTTTATTCTTTCGTATGTAAAGCACTTTGAATTACCATTGTGTATGAAATGTGCTATATAAGTACACTTGTCTTGCCTTGCCTTTATACAGTATATGTTGATAAAGTGAGAATGGCAATTTTTCCATAATCTTATCCTCTACACCTCCATCTGTAACTCACTTACTTCAGTCTACCCTTTCGTGAGCACTGAACTGGACTTATTTGACTTTGCCTGCAGGCGCGGTTGAACGATGCTATACGCTAATGCTAATGTGAACTGTCAGAGGCTTGCTACATAATGTCACCGCTGGTTCTAGGGCGTCTCTGGGAGTTTAGGGACTCATGGGACATTTTAACGGAATTCATGGCCTCGTTCTGTATGCTGTCAGATCCCCTACAGGAGATGACCCTTATTTTTCTTTCCCCTACACCATTATGCATTGTGTTGAGCCAGCGCTAGTCAGTGAGTAAGAGTTCAGGAGCTGGGAGAATCTGTTTTTACAGTTTTTTTATGTAGATCAGAGATGGGATTCTTCATATATTTTTCAATATTTTAATATTTTTGAAGCATCTAATCATATTATACTGATTATGAGAAGCATCTGGACTCATTGTTGCACTCATATTTGGTGGAATTGAACTCTTCCACTTCCTTTTTTTTATGTGTGTCCATGTGTAGTACACTGTGTCTACAAGCACTCTGAGTCATCCAGAGCTGGGTTGGATTAGTTTGCTGGATGGGTTAGTTGAACGGAGGGTCTAATTTTGTAGAGAATAAAGAGAGAAAAACTCGAAATAGAGGTGCATTATTTATCTTTGAGAGAAATTTATTGTGTTTAAATTTATTTAGAGATTAACAGGTTTTAGACATGCAGTTTTACACTGATACATGTAAAACGATTAAACTAAATTAAAACTGATTAAACCAACATAGGCTCATTCTGAAAACGTAGCCCTATATAAATTTCTAGAGATCGCTAATTATGTAGCCAGAGGTATGTATGGCTGCATTTTATCTTCAAAATGAATGCTATGGGGTGGTATGCTGCTGTTTCTTTTTGCTGCTTACCAGCTGACTGCTTATCTCCGTATGGACAGCTTTCCTGTTGTTTCTAGTTTGTCAGGTAGCTTGACATGTACGTCGGCGGTCTTGAGACACAGAGCCTGTCGGACCACATCAACAGGGTTCAAGTCTGGTGAAGACAGTTCCAGAAAGCGGATAAGACAAAAACAAAAGCCAAAAAATAATAAACAAGTAAATAACAGGGTGAGAATGTGGTCAAATCTGTGGTAAAAATCAGGCAAGGGTTTTTCTTTTTCTGGATTGCTTTTTAAAACACTGCAGTTGGGTTTAGGGAACGGGGTGGATGGGTCAATCAGTGCTTTTGAAAACACTATTAGGGGTGGGGGGTGGGGGGGTTCGGTCGACCGGTCGTTTGGTCAGTCAGTCAGTTGACAGCAGCCTCTGATGGATTTATGTGAGAAGAGCAGGTGCTACTGGGACTTGCGAGAGAAATTTGAGATCTGAAAAAGCGTACACAGCGACCTCTGGTGGATTCGTGTAAACAAAAACTGCAAAAAAACATAGCTCTTGGGACGTATTTTGCTTTCTCCAGAAATGTATAAAGGGGTACATAATCATTAAACTGTTTTAAATGACTAAACTAAACTGATTATGTTCACAGCTACTGAGGGTATGCAGACATAACAAGGATCTTTACTAATAGCCAAATGTTTTTTATGCTGTTGGAACATTATTTACATGACAATAGTTAGGTTTCCATCACCCTATAATTGGATGAGAAACACGTGATGGTAACAACCAAATAAAAATTTGCAAAAAAATATTTTACTATTATAAAATATTAATAAAAATATTTATTAATGAAGCTGTTGAGGAACCAAAACCGTTGTGCGGAACCTAAATCGGAACCACTTTTTTTATTTAATGATATTTCATCCGTACCGCACCAAAGCATGAATAGTTTCCAAGGGATCATTTATTCAATAATATAATTAGCTTCTTACATCAGAGTGAGTCTGTCTTCACCCTAATGGCTTTAATTGCAGTTTAGAGTCATCTTTTTCGATCTGGTCATGCACATCACCTCCTTGTCCCGGATTTTCTTCATAGCTGTGTTTTGGACGCTCACAGCCAGAAAAGGATGATTTCCAGTGTGTAATCTCCTTCTGGAAATGTCTCTAATATCGCAGCCTTTAATGAGGTAAAAGAGAGTGAAAGGGTGCGCAGATGGCCAACCAGATGCACAGACTTAACCGTATTTGGTTGCCAGTCAGCTCATTTAGCCGGAGCTTGTAATTGAGTGAAAACGCAGGGGGATTTGCATAGGTTTGATGTCCTAAGTGTTTTCTGTATGTTTTCGTGTTCTCTCGAGAACATTTGCCCTGGGACAGAGCTGTCACATGGTTGGTAGCTGTGCTGTGACCAGCCGGCTCTGGATTGGGTGTTGACTTCAGCGCTAATCAGGTTAAGTTATTAAAACCTCATGAGTGAAATAGGTCAGAGGCAGCTAAAGCTGACAGAGAAAGACAGCGGCGTAAAGATGTGAAAACGGTGGAAGAAGAAGACCACATGCCAGGCCATGTGAAAGAAGACTGTGACTGAATGCCGGAAAAGGAGGAAACGCAGAACAAATATCATCCGTTTTTTTTTTCTGATCAATATCTTCATTTGGAATACAACACTATTCAGGAATAAGAAGAAACTTTTACCATAAACAACAAGGACATGTTTTGTTTCATGAAGATTTACAAAAGAATTTATTAGGGTCGTCTGATTTTACAAGCATGTAATGGTGTGGATATGCTTTATGTTTGTTAACTGGAACACAGATGTGTCTCTTTTGACTGAAGCACACTGTTTATGCACAGTGGAACACATCAGCCCAAAGGCAAGGACCTCATATACAGTACACTCACACACACCACCATGAGGGTTTGTTGTGTTTGAGAGCTCATGGGGAAGGACGTTACGTTTCAGGAAGACACTCTGATTACCCCTTTCCTCCTTTGGGAATAAATAGAAAAGCACAAAGGAACTGGTCTCTGAGTACAAGGACTGGCTGAGCATCACAAGCTTTTGTTTCTTCGAAATCCAGACTTTCAGCTTGGTTTTGCGAATTCTTGTGTTACGCTGGATATTATCAACCAACAGGGACTTGAAAAGAAGTTTGGATACAACCGACCACGTTGGATGTCACTACAGTAGGCTTACTATTGTTTCCGCTCTATGTGGATGCAGTAAAACTCTCCGTTGTGCTTGGGAATAAACAGATCAGTGTAATCTCGGGATTTGTGTCGCGCCCAACTGCCTGCTGGAGATTCCCAACTCCTCCCCCACCACTACTCACAATTCGGCAAACCCCGCTTGTTTCGTCATACAAATGATTGCAGCCCCATTACCACGGAGACCCAGTTGACAGGCGCTGCGTCGGATGCTGGTCCTGCGGGCCCTGACCTGCTCCCCTGTGTATCCCAGCCAGCCGTGAGTTCAGGGAGTCAGGATGAAGAGGCTGTGACCGGGTCTCAAGGGAGCGCTGGGGGTCAGGCAGGTCAAGGCGTCATGGCTCCGCTGTGGAGGTCCATGCTGTCCAAAAGCAGCCCCCTGTACCGCGACTCGCTCTTTTCCTTTTCTCTGTGGGAATGGCAGGTGCAGAAGAGAGAGCTGGCTATTCTAACCAAGCAGACAGAAAGGGAGAGGAGAACTTTGCACAGTCAGATTGAGAAGTAAGAGCTTCAAGGTGCTTTATGTGCGTAGGTTTTTAAAACAACTTGAGTATTTAAACCAATATTTGTGTTTTTACTGTGCTTTTTAAATTTTGAGACAGTAAGACATTTAAAATGTGTTTTAAAGTCTCTATTTGATAAAAAAAAATACTGTAAAAATAGTAATATTGTGAATTACTTTACTTTTTTCATATATTTTCACATGTAATTTATTTATGTGATGGCAAAGCCAAACAAGAGTAGTCCTTAGTGTCACATGATCATTCAGATTATTTGAAACATTATTATAAATGTTTTAATAACATTTATTATATTGTTATAATCAGTTGTTATCGTATAGAGGTTTTTTTAAATGTGCAAATTAATTTATAGCATTGAAAAATGCCTTTTAAAATTCTAAACAAATCATTTAAAGTATGTTTCTCAACCACGTTCCTGGAGGACCACCAGCACTGCATGTTTTGGATGTCTCTTTTGTCTGTCACACCCATTACAGGTCTTTCAGTCTCTGCTAATGAGCTGATGATCTGAATAAGGTGTGTCTGGTTAAGGAGACATGGAAAATGTGCAAAGCTGGTAGTCTTTCAGGAACGTGGTTGAGAAACACTGATTTAATAAATATACAGTATTCATTTTCTTTTTGGCTTAGTCCCTTTATTCATCAGGGGTTGCCACAGTGGAAAGAACCACCAACTTATCCAGCATATGTTTTTCACAGCGGATACCCTTCCAGCTGCAACCCAGCACTGGGAAACCCATACACTCTTGCATTCACATACATACACTATGGACGATTTAGCTTACCCAATTCGCCTTTAGCGCCTGTTTTTGAACTTGTGGGGGAAACCGGAGCACCCTGAGGAAATCCATGTGAACACAGGGAGAACATGCAAACTCCACACAGAAATACAAACTGACTTAGTCGGGACTCGAACCAGCAATCTTCTTGCTGTGAGGTGATCTTGCTACCCACTGCGCCACCGTGCTGCTATATATATACAATATATATTTTATTTTTACATTTCACATGATAGACCTTTGCAAAATAATGTCAGCTTAAAAGATTGTTAAAGTTGTCATATGTGCAACAGAATAAAGAACGACACTGTACTGAAGAACAACACTGTATTTTGTTAGTGCACAGCCCATGGCATTTTGTGGGTTATAACTTGTTGTTGGTGTTGTGGAATTATGGTGCATATGACTGTGTTTTCAGTTGATTATTTCCAGAAGGAGCACATGATGTGAGAGACATGACACAGATTTCTAGGATGCTACTGTGTGTGTTTTGGCTCAGACAGAACAAAAACAGGTCCTAATTAATCCAGCTTGGAACAAACAGTGGGTACAAAATTAGCCTAATGCCCTGCATGCGGGACACACCTGGCATTTGCCAAACAAAATATGGTGACAATTTGCATGTACAGCACACTTAATTTGGATCCACATAAGCATAATAAACCCAAAATTCACTTTTATCACAACCTGACATTTGCATTTATTTGGTCGACAGATTTGACTTGCAGGAGAGGAGAGTCCTCATCGTCAATTTCTTCATCAACAAGTTTTTGCTTCTACAGTATTTTGTGAATGTATTGTGTTCAATAAATGTGAGAGTGTTTATTTTATCTAGAAAGAAAATCAAGACCTCCTATTTGACCATGTTTATACAGTAATCTAACTATCATTTTAGGTAGAGATGTCATGTGTTTGCAGATTGTGGGAACATTTATTGTGTTCATGCAGTAAAATAAACGAAATCTCTCATTTCCCACCAAACAACAGTACATTTTGTTGATCACTATGTTCTGCAGCTGTGTGGCCCCATCACTCTAGTATCTGATTGGTCCAAACCCACTGTTCCTAATAAATGTTCATTTAACATGGCAGATGATTAGCTTTATTGGAATCCTCACTATGCTAAATGCCATTTTCCTCTGTTTACAGGCTGAGCAAGGAGCTTCAACAGAAAGACAAACTCATCGAGTCTCTACGGTCCAAACTTGACCAGCAACAACCCCGGTCAGATACACCTACAAGCAGTCATGCTTTCTCTGTAGCCACAGACCAATCGGATAGGACATCCTTTGTGTCAGATGACCACGGCTCAACCAATGAGGATCTAGAATTATGCTCTGAACTGGATGCTGCCAGTGAATATGGCCAAGAAGAGGCAGCAAGAAGTGCCACAGGTTTTTGATTTTATTACTATCATCATGGTTATCGGTTTTCCTTCTGTAATCACATCCAGGTTAGCTTCTCATCCACATTTCTTCATTGTTCATCTGTTTTGTTTCAGACCCACGCAATAATAGAGGCTCAGTCTTGTCACATCCATCCAATCCTCCATCTATCACTTCCTCTCACAGCCACAAGTCCACCAACACCTGTCCTAGCATACACTGCACACCACGTAGACCATTGGAAACCCAGGAACAAACAGGTAGGAAGAGTAAGAGACTATCAGTTCAATCATAGCAATGGCATTCTATCACAAAGTACACTATCATTCAGAAGGTTAGGATCACCAACAAATGTAAACTTTTGTTCAGGAAACATTCATTAAATTGGTCAAAGTGGCAGTAAAGACATGAATAAATAGACACAATAATAATGAATTAATAATAATAATAATAATAAATAATAAAAAAAAAATAATAATAAATGAAAACATTCAGTTTTAAATGTTAATGCTGATGTCTCAAACTTTGTTTTGATAGTTTTTATTACTTTAGCATTAAATAATCATGTTAGAATAATTTCTAAAGGATCATGTGATGCTGAAAACATCATGAAATGTCAGCTGAAAATTCATCATAAGTGTTAATAATATTTTAAAATATATGAATGAAAGGTATTTTTAACAATGTAAATATTTTTTTTGAAAATATTTTAAATGTTGTGGTGATCCCAGACTTCTGAGTGCTAGTGTATGTATGTATGTTATTCATATTTCAATAGATGTACAGCTGCAATCAGAATTATTAAATCCCCTTTATTATTTGTCCCTTTTTATTTTTTCCCCCAATTTCTGTTTAACCGATAGAAGTCTCAACACATTTCTAAACATAATAGTTTTAATAACTAATTTCTCATAACTGATTTATTTTATCTTTGCCATGATGACAGTAAATAATATTTTACTAGATAATTTTTAAGACACTAGTATTTAGCTTAAAGCGCAATTTAAAGGCTTAACTTGGTAAATTCGGCAGGTTAAAGTAATTAGGCAAGTTATTGTATAATGATGGTTTGTTCTGTAGACTGTCGAAAAAAATATAGCTTAAAGAGGCTAATAATTTTGACCTTAAAAAGGCTTTAAAAAAATAATAATTGCTTTTATTTTAGCCGAATTAAATCAAATAAGACTTTTTTCAGAAGAAAAAATATCAAATAAACTGTGGAATTTCCTTGCTCTGTTAAACATTGTTTGGAAATAATTAAAAAAAGAAAAACAATTTCAAAGGGGGTTTAATAATTCTGATTGCAACTGTAGTTTATTCCAGTGTAGTCTGTTCTAGACATAGGCAGTCAACATACCCAATGAAGTTAATAGCCGTGAGTCAGTAGCTCTTTCTCTCTGTGCCCTACCATCAGGCCTCACTACTGTACCTCTGTCCAACTCCATTCCTTTCTCCGCCTCCCTCCACTGTCCTCAAATGTGCTCTCAGCCTGTGTTTGACCCTCATGTTCACCCCTTGAGAACCCGTCACCCTTATGGTGGGGGATTCTCACTGGCAGAGGTTCACCAAGAGCTTCAGATGCTCCAAAGACAGCTTGGAAACAGTGAGCCTGCATCTAAGTGTGTGTGGCACAGAATGATTCATACTAACTATGACACTAAATCACTATTGGCAAGATGTTATCGCCAAAGAGAAAATCAGAAAGGAGACCAAAACATGCAATACATTTTTTTGTATCAAGCTTTGATAACTCAATAATCATTGATGCATTATGCAGTCGTTGATTGTGGAATCACTAACATGCATGCAAATCTTTTTCTTTATCTGTATTTTTCCAGTAAAAATAGTAAAACATCACAAAGACTAAATGCAAAAAATTATGTAAAAGTCTTACCTTACTAACAAGATTTTTTCTCGTGTTGGTTTGTATTTCTCAGAAATGATTTACTAGAAAATTAGATTGCATACAATTGTTTATTTATTGCACATAAATTTACATCAATCACTTTGTTATAGCTTCACTTACATACTGTATATCGAGCCTTCTTGCACCTTCTTGATTCATGCTACTACTATTATATTTTTGTTTACACTAACATTTGAAAGTTTGATGTTACTTAATGAAGAACTTAATGTATTTAATAATTGTCACATTACAGGTTATCATGGTCCTCAGATGAAACCTCTTCCTGCATTTCCACTGGGACCCCATGCTCAACCTGACCATAGCAGTTTACATCCACTATCCCATCATGCCTTTGAACAGTCACCTCTCAACAGCCAGCACACAAGTCCTGCTATGAAATCAGGGTCAAGCCTTCTGGAGAGCAGTGCAATGTGGGATATGATGTATAGCCCAAGACCTTTAAGACCAGGCCCATATGGAGATGTGTCCTCTGGTTCTTCTGGATATCAGTCAGGACACACAGGTCAGATCTTGGAGTTTTCATTTTAATGCAAATAGTTGGTGTTATATACTGTTATATCAAACTTATTCAGCTCTTTCTATGCTAAAATTTAGGGACAGACTTAATGGAGGAGCACCTTAGGGAAATTCGTACTCTCCGACGGCGTCTTGAAGACTCCATCCAGACCAATGACCGCCTGAGACAACAGCTGGAGGAGAGACTGGCCGCTTCTGCAAGAAACGGAGGTCGGAGACACACACAGTCATAATAAGTCACAGCACTGTGCTTAAGCTACTTTACAATGCTTATGTTTCACATTTTAAATATACTTGTACATTTTCTCTTATCTTCAACTAGCAGGAGCAGCGCCCACTAACATCTATATTCAAGGCCTTGATTCTGTCAGTCAGCTGTCCAATGAGATTCGAGTGCTGAAAGAGGAAAATCACACTCTGCAGAACCAACTCCAGCAGGCCAGGACAGGTAAGATCTTAAGGCTGATTTATACTTCTGCGTCAAACGCCGGCGTATGCTACGGCGCTGACGCATAGCCCTTCGCCGTGGCCGTCGGCGTCGCTGACGTGCACCTCTCAAAAATTGTAACTACACGTCGCAACGACACGTAGCACAAGCTCTGTGATTGGTCGGCTTGGTAGCGCTGACGAGTCTGAGTGGGACCGAGAGCCATGCGAATGGCGCGAGCTGGACGCGAGCCCAATGTAGCGATTGTTTACAAGTGTGGAGTTCCATGAAGGAGCTCCTGATGGAAAGTTTTGTTTTGTGTTTACCTCATAGTTAAAGTTGTTGCACGTCCGCCGGTTCCTGCCTCAAAATGAGCGAGTTTGAGTCAATTGTACATCCCGGAAGTGTTTAGGAAAAGCAAAACAGCAGAGAAGAAACTCGACACAGAGAAACATTAACACCTCACTGCCCACTAGCGTTTCGGAAGTGTTAATGCAGACCAACAGAGACAGTGTGCAGAAGTATAAATGCACAGCTACGCGCGTTGCATGCGCTGTGGGTAACGCCGGTCACTTGACGCAGAAGTATAAACCAGGCTTTAGTCATTCCATGTTTTTAAGGAAAGGAATGTTAGCAGTTGTGCTCAATTCCAGCTTTTATATAGATTACGTGTAAATGAGCAAGCATAATTCTTGTCAGTGTTTGCATAATAGTAGAATATTTAGTTGCTCAGTATTGGCATTTTTACTCAAAAAGTTTTACTTAGTTACTATCTTGGATTAAAAATTGTTAGTTTGTATCTCTATTATCACTGTGTACTGCCAAACCAATGTTATTTTAGTATTTGTGACACAAATTAAACATTATTTTGTTAGTCCTTTCAGTCCAAATGTAGTAATTTTGTTGTTTGTTATTGTCATTCTTATTTCCTTCTTATATCTCTCTCTCTATGTGAAGTTTATTAATAAACTAAGTCTCCATATTACTAATTCCTAAGTCTCCATAAAAAACCTAAGTTCATACCTTAGTCATCTTCGTTCTGAAGAACCCCCCCCCCTTTCTTCCCTACTTTTCCTCCTTTTTCTAGATGAGCGGCATAGCTGCCCCGTGGTTAACACTGTTGCCACACAGCAAGATCGTTACTGGTTCTATTCTTTACCAAGCCAGTCTTCTGTGTAGAGTTCACGTTCTACCTGTGTTCGCGTAGGTTTCCATCAAAAAAACATGGAACTTAAGTTAATTGGCTAATCCAAATTTGCGCTGTAGAAATGCTCCTAGTAAGTAGTTATATCTTCATAACAATCCCTAATTGCTCACTAGTTTTAAATGGCAGGGGAGTTTCGAGATCTACTTGAGCTCAAACTCCCCTCTCACCCTGCAAACAGGAGGGAGCCCCGGGCTTGAGGATCTTATGAGCTCAGGGCTCTCTACTGGGACAGCATGCCAAACACGGTTAATAATCATTCATCAGCTAAGTGTGAACTCTTGAAATATAGTTTATTTGAGGTGTTTTGTAATTTAAGTTTTTTATAATGTTTATATTGGTTCATTTTTGGTTTTTGTTACTTTAGTAAATCCAGTTAAAATGAGATGAAACTAACCCTTATTTCAGTTTATAATAAAGTAACTATTGTAGCCAATCTGCCCTGAGTCCTGATACGTATTGCATTTGCATGCAGATGGCAGTAAAGAGATGGAGCGATTGAGAGAGGCGGTTCTTTCTGTACGTGGCCAGTTAAAGCAGGCGGAGCTTGAGGCAGACAAGTGGGCGGATCAGTGCAGGCGAATGCAGGCTCAGATTAGAGATCAAACTCAGACTGTACTGCAGCTTAAAGAAGAGAAACAGAACAGCCTGGACAACAGCACCAGGTACAGAGGCAATCTTGAGAAAAAACTGCATTCTGGAAAAAACTGTGACAGGGTGCATTGAATATTCATGTGTAATCTTCTGTGAACAGGCTACAGCAGGAGGTGAATGTTCTCCAGCAGCAGTTGAGTGAGTGTCAGTGTCTAGTACACACACTGCAGTGTGAACTTCAAGTGTACAAGAGAGTCTGTGGCACTGCTGAGAGCAATGCAGGTAAGAAACAAATGCACCTGTCCGAAACTCTTCATCAGACATTGCTAACTGCAATTTTTTTTTTAATTACTGGAATTTGTGTAGAATGTGCATCCAGCATTAGATTAAGAATAGGTCTACCAAACTAATGATTCTGTCAAAATGGTTGCATTAAAAACACTACTGCTGCGGCCCAATTCGCATATTATCTGTCCTAAGTAGTATTTCGAAAATAGAATTAGCATGTCCCAAACCGTGTTATGGTGAAGAGTATGTCAAAGGTTCCTGGATGGTGTATGATGCTTCCATTAGAAATTCAAAGTGTAGAACTGTACGTACTCTAACCACAAATATTGCCCATGTTACATTGCACAGTAGATGTTGATTCGATCAGTACTATAACTATAAAAATATCTACTAAAATGGCAGACATTTGAGACCAACCATTATGTAGAGAGGCTTCAGTAAAGTTATTTAAATGACTATTAATTGATATATAACCAGCTGGCAAATATTTAAATCACATTTTCCATGTTATAAGTCATCTGCAACAACAACGTGAACTTATGAAGATGTGTTTGTACTTAAGTATGCATAATTATCCAAAGACCTATGAAGATTTTTCTGCATGAAAGACTTGTGAATGGCATATTAACCTTTCACTGAATCTCTAATAAGGTAGGTAATTAAATAATAAAAAGAAATGTGGATGATGTGTAGAGATGAGTGATAGGATGTAACTAAGAAATCTTAGGGTCTATTAATGAGGCAGTAGTATATCCCAAATTGCGTACTTTTCTGTTGAACTATTAAAAGTACAGAGTGTACCTTTTCTTCACACAAAGTAGTTTATTTTATTAGTATAAGTAGGCGAATTGAAACGCAGCGTACTTCTAATTTTCTATTTTGGTACACTTTTATCAACTGTGACCCTGTGATTAATAGAATTTTCCGGACAGCATTATGGGTAATGTAGTTTTTCTATGTGAATTTGGCTATTAAACCAAACTGTTTTAATCTAAGTTGAAATAATACAAACAAATGGGTTAAGAAAAAGCACATACAATTGATTAACAAACTCTGTGCTCAAAACAGGTCTGTCTTTGAAATTGTAATGTAGAAAATAAAATGAGCTTTTACTTTCAAAACCCCATTATTAGCACTGATGCACTATATTTTGCATCCTTTACTGCTTTAGGTTCAGGACTGACTTTGACCCTTGACCTGCGTGAGCGAGAGTCAAACATACAGTTGCTGGAACAACAGTTGAGAGAGAGGCTAGACCTTTGTATGCCTCACCCCTCAGCCAGAAAACAGCTCTTTCATGGTGAGATAATAATCATAATCAATAATTGTAAATAAGTTCATCTTGGCTTCAGGATACACATTTGTAACCCTAAACTACAAAACCAGTCATATTGGTCAATTTTTGGAAATTGGGATTGAAAAACAAAATCTCAAAGCTGAATAAATATTCTGACCATTGATGTGTAGTTTGTGAGGACAAAGAAGAAACAAATAAAGAACAAATAAATTCAGAATCACAATTAAATTTGTTTAAATTAGGCATGTTAATAATCAAAATTAAGTTTATATATGTTTATGAAGGAAAATTGACAAAATATCTTAATGAAACGTGGTTTTTACTTGATATACTAATAATTTTTGGTTCTTTTACGTTATTTTAATAAACTTTTACATTATATCTTTACAATATATTCACGCAAATATATCCCTATGCAACATTAGACAAAAGGCCTTGTGCTCCAGGGTCACATTTGATTCACAAATATTAATTGTGACATTCATAATATAATACACCCTTATATTTTAACATATATTTCTATTGACTCTGGTCTCTGTTTGCAGTAGACCAATCACCATCTCCTCCTGTTCGGGATACAGGGTTCTCCAGCCCTGCTTCACCAGCCATCAAACAGCATGACCCGAAGCCTTATAAGTGTAAGAGTCTTATATGAAACAGTCAATGCATAACAGTCGAACCACAGCAAACTGTTTCATCACTGCATGTCTTCTGATTTAGATTCTGGTGCTGAAGGTCTGGAGGGTGAGGCACCTGACGGCTCCTTCGCCTGCAGGACAGGGCGCCATATGATCAGTCACGTGGACGACTTCAGTGTCCTTCAACAGCAGTTACTGGAAGGAAAAGCAGTTATACGAAAAATGGAAGCAGCACTGCAGGCCAGCACAGAATCTCATGATCTACCAGAGGTCAGCAAGAAAAGATACTAATAATAATAATGGATGAATAGAAATGTGTTTAGAAGGGCTGTCAAACAATTGAAAATAGGTTAAGTCAGAATAAAATTTTGTTTTACGTGGCTTTACTTGTTTTCTAGCAGATAGTCCTGAAAACAATCCATGTTTATAATCCATGAAATATTATTCAAGTAATTCCAACAAAGTTTCTGGAGCGCCAAATAAAAGATGAGAATGAATGGATGGAGTAATCCTAATCCATAGTAATGTTCTGTAATTATTTGTATGTAAGCATCACTATATATATATATATATATATATATATATATATATATATATATATATATATATATATATATATATACACACACACACACACACACACACACACACACACATACAGTTGAAGTCAGAATTATTAGCCCCCCTGTATATTTTTTTCCCCAATTTCTGTCTAACAGAGAGAAGATTTTCTCTACACATTTCTAGACATAATAGTTTTAATAACTTATTTCTAAAAACGGATGTATTGTATCTTTGCCATGATGACAGTAAATAATATTTTACTGGAAAATTTTCAAGACACTTCTGTACAGCTTAAAGTGACGGTTAAAGGCTTAACTAGGTTAATTCCGTTAACTAGACAGGATGGGGTATTTAGGTAAGTTATTGTATAAAGAGGTTTTTTTTTGTAGACGATAGAAAAAATAAATTCCTTAAAGGGGCTAATAATTTTGACCCTAAAAACGCTTTTAAAAATTTTAAACTGCTTTTATTCTAGCGAAATAAAACAAATAAGACTTTCTCCAGAAGAAAAAATATTATCAGACATACTGTGAAAATTTCCTTGCTCTGTTAAACATCATTTAGGAAATATTTATAAAGGACAAAAACATTTAAAAGGGGCTAATTATTCTGACTTCAAGTGTGTGTGTGTGTGTGTGTGTGTGTGTGTGTGTGTGTGTGTGTGTATAATATTATCATTACTCTACACATTCATTCTCATATCCTATATATGGTTTATGGGTAACTAAAAAATAAAAAAGTTTATTTGTTGACTTATATTAAGTTTATTGATAAAAGTATTTAAATGTAACTTTTTGTGTATTATTTTACGTGTTGACTATTCCTTCTGTGGTATTTTTAAAATTGGATTTAAAATGATTAATTATAATTTAAACAATAAATCAAACAGCCTTTAAGTTTTTTTTTTTTTTGCTTTATCAATACTTCCTTTTATTTTCAAAACCTCTTTTTATTTTACATTTATTTAAATTAAACACATTTATTTAAAATGAAAAAAAAAAAACTTACTAAAAGTTTAAACACATTTGTTCTCTGCAGGGTTATGTAAGGAACTTGCAGGTCAGCACTAAGACGCTGAAGCAGATCCTGGAGGAGACGAGCTCTCTTTTAAGAATGTTCTGGAGGGCTGCTCTGCCCAGCACTGAGACTTCAGCCCAGCAGCTGAAAAAGGTCAGAGGGCATTTACCATCTGAACTTTTCAGTTATCACAATATTTCTCAGAAGTGCTACAAAGTTGTGTGCTCAAAACTAAACATGTCACAATTAAAGATGTCACAACTAAACCTTGGTGTGCACCAAAAGAAGCTGACTGAGACCTCATAAAACGTCAGTCTCTGTACCCTAAATGAACCAGGGGTTGGTTCTTCGCAAGTGGAAAACTCAATTAGCTGCATCTTTTTATTGACGATTTGACGCGATCCAGGATCGTTTCGATCTTTAACTCATCCGAGAGTTGTTGTTATAGTAGTCGGGTAGCTTAAACCTGTTCAGGAGCAGGCTTATTTCATATAAATAAGATTAGATTGGGTCTTATTTAACCAAAGGTATTACTGAAAGTATGTACCAAATGCTGATACTTTCTAACAGTACACTGCAAAAAATGCTTTTCTTACTTTCTTTTTTTGTCTTGTTTCTAGTCTAAATATCTAAAATTTCTTACACCAAGAAGCATTTTTTAGACAAGCAAAACATATTGCCTTGTTTTGAGAAATAATATGCCAATATTAAGTCAGTTTTTCCTTAAAACAAGCAAAATAATCTGCCAATAAGGTAAGCAAATTAATCTTGTTTTTTCTTTTGACGTAAGATTATTTTGCTTACCCCGTTGGCAGATTATTTTGCTTGTTTAAAGGAAAAACTGACTTAATATTGGCATAATATTTCTCAAAACAAGGCAATATGTTTTGCTTGTTTAGAAATTCTTCTTGATTTAGGAACTTTTAGATATTTGGACTAGAAACAAGACAAAAAATCTAAGTAAGAAAAGCATTTTTTGCAGTGTAATAGTAGTATACACTTGGGAAAATAATTTAAAAAAATGATAAATAAAACTTATGCAATCTGCACTCAGAAATAAAAGTACAAAGACTGTCATGGGGTGTTCCCTCCCCAAGGAGTTCTTTTTAGATACAAACGCGTGCTATTTTACGGTACCAGCTTATAGCATTGTATGATAATAGACACGGCCAATATTTGACTGTTTTTTTAAATCCTCTCTTAATGTAAAACTAAATAAATTGCTAAATACTTTTGACATGTGAAAGTGTAAAGCCTGTAACCCACAACAAATGTGGAAAATTACTGCATATTTAACAAGCCGTTTACTACGAATTTTGTGTTATTTTGCTCATATGAATAATTGAATATTAATCAGGTGATGTCATTACGCTGCTGTGCCATCAGCCAATTGTTGCATTGCTGATCATGATTTTGGGGATCGTTAGATCTGTCCTTCACAACACACGTAGCCATCTCAGATCAGTTCATCCAGACAATTTAATCTGATTCGCGAACTAGCCAGATATCAGTTATCCAGATTAAAAGATCCTGGATCTGTCAAATCTGTAAAGATTATTTATGAGGTATAAAGATTGGACCTCAGGACAAATCAAGGGAACCTAAATATAAATGTAAGAATGAATTCAGGAATGCGCCTTTACTTCATTAAACCACAATGAATGTTTTTTATGTTTATATGTAGGAGCAGTCTTTGAGAAAGGAGGTCATCGCATTGAGGTGCAAGTTGTCAGAACAAGAGCAGCTTCTCAGGGACACGATGGAGAATCTGAGGGCCTCCAGTCAGACTAAAGACAGCATGGAGCAGTTCATCGTCAATCAACGTACGCAACTCTCTTGTTTTTTTTTTTTCTTTTTCACGTTTAGCGTTCTTTTGTTCACTTGAGGTATATTTATTTCCAGTCTCAAGAACCCGAGACGTGTTGAAACAGGCTCGCTCAAATCTAGAGGTGAGTCCATCATTTTTGCATGCGTCTTTTTACAACCCAACCACAAGCAGGCTTCTTTTTCTGAAACAAGTTTCCTCAGTCGCACACCCAAATATGTGTAGCCCAAATTGATTTTGAATAGTTTTCAGCGGAATAGTTTGCACCACTGGATTGAAACCAAAAGGACTTCATCAAAAAATTGGCAACTACTAATAGCTCTATCTATCTGCGGCTCTATCTCACTGGGTTATTTTCCCTCTCCTTTTTATCTCTGTCTTCTGAGTTATTCCAGAAGAATGAACTCAAGATTGCCTCTCTAGGTTTCACCCCTCTCCCTTCATCCTCCTTTTCGGTTTCCTCCACTCCCTCCTGGTCTGAGAGAGGTACTGCACTCTGGGTATATGTGTGTGTGCGTGTTAGGAGCCATTCACAGAGAACGTGTGTTCTAAAATGGAATGTTTTTTTAAACAGAGCTCCCCCATTTAATATCAGATAAACAGTTGTCATACCAACTTGCTACTGTAAACAGAAGTTTGCAGTACTTGCCCATTCTCAGAGGTCTTCTGATTGGTCCACTGCTTTGGAACTGCTATTGCTGAGTGGAGCGTCATGTACAAGCTGAAAGCGTCTCAAAAATACGATGCTCATGTTTGAGGTGCTGCAAAGACACGAGTGTAAAGGTTGTGCACATTTATGTTGAAAAAGTATTGCTTCGAATTGGAAAAACACGTTCTGTGTGAATGGCACCTTTGTGTGTATGTGTTTCTTTTTTTGACCTAATATAACTTAAAATCCGACTTTTGACCAACCGCATGGTGTTTCACAGCTGTTTTTCATCATTTGTTTTGCACAATCGAATTCTATTTTGAAAGTTTGATAAAAATAACACATGAAAAACAATCTCTCAAACCTGTTTATTAAAGGTTCCATGTTATTAAAATAAAAAGTTTTTAGTTGTCTGTTTCAGTCTGTTAGTTTTAAGGACTTTATATGTTGGTGTGCTCCAAAACACCGAAAAAATATGCTTTGAGGAGATATAAATGACATCCTCATACTTCAGTTTCTCATCAAATCTTGACCAATCAAATGCTCTCTAGTGTCCTACGTGTCCCGCCCCCTTCAGTGCTGTGTTCAGTTTGCATACTTACACTACGCCCTAAAAGCATGTACTTTTTTTGTGAAGAAAAAATATATACTTTTGATTGTGTAACAAGAGCATATAATCTTTGGGACATACTACTTCCTCTTTAAAAGATCATTGTGCTGCTTAATCTTAGTTATGAGCAATTTCTGACCACGTTGGAGAAGCAGCAGCAGGATAATCTCCCATCCATTCCCTGAATTCACATCCATGCACAATGTACTGTGGGCAATATCAGCAGTTAGAGTATGGACGGATCTACACTTAACATTTTTACCGGAAATAGTAAACCATCCGGGAACCTTTGACATACTTTTTTCAATATACTACGATTTATGACATACTAACTCTGTTTTAAAATACTATTTAGGATGGATAGTTTGCGAATTGGGACCCAGTATTGCTTTTTATTTGATGGGTTTGAGCTCCACCATCTCACTGGCAGAACTGTGATAAAAACCAAACGCTATTGGCTGCTTTTTTAACAGGGGAGGGGCTACTCTACGTCCCACTCTCTCTGTATTTTAAAGTTGAGATTACATCAAACATTGAATTAAAATGCACATTTCTAAGCACTTCACGGGGCCTTTAACAATGTAGATCTGCTAACAAAAGTGACCATAAAATCAAAATTTGGAATTAGGTAAGACACATGCACACTAAAGATTCATTCTTGTATAGTATGAAGTTTTTTCTGAGGTTATGATCAATACAAATGTTTTGATATACAGTATCTATTCAGACACTTGTACAGCATCTATTCAGTTGTTTGCTTTATTTCTGACCAAGAAAAAAAATGGCCGGTTCAGTGTTGCCATCTTGTGGGCAAACTGAGTAGTGCCAAAACTATTCAGAGCACTTGTGCAAGCTGCCTTATGGGGGGTGCTCATGGCCAAAAGTCTTATGTTAATGTATGTTATGTTAATTTTAACCATGTTTGACAGCCAAATAAGCTGCTGTATTTGATTCTTAGGATGCAATGAGACCCCACTATATACATATGCAAATGTCATGTTTATTTGTGAAAAATATCGTAATACTACGCTGGCATGTACATGCTGGAAACAACAGATGTTTTAAAGCCTTTAATAAAAAATGCAGTCTCAACACTATCTTTGCGTATTACAGAAACGTGCACAATTGTCACAGAAATAGTCGAACTGTGTGCTGACCTACTTGACAATTGAATTTAATTTATTTTATTAAAGAATGGGTGGTTAAGTGGTTACTCTGTTTGCTTTACAGCAGTGTTAGTTTTGACAGCAAATTTTGATTTAGTTTCAGTCTTAGTCTTTTGACTAAAATTGCATTTTAGTTTTGGCTATATTTTAGTCTTCTGGATCATTTTAGTTTAGTTTTAGTTTTAACTCCAGATTTAGTTGACTAAAATATATTTGGATTTAATTTAAGTGTAATTTAATTAAATATCGTATACATTTATTTATATAAAGTATTCTAGCATAAATTAAATAAAACTGTGTCATTAAAATATGGTATATATCTTTTCCATCGAAGACCAAATATTAGATATGCAGAGTTTATTTATATGATAAGTAATGTGTTAAGTGATGTGTCGGCAAGAACAACAGACTACTAAAAATCCAGGATTGAGCTATTATTTAGCAAACCATTTTTTAACATGGTAAACTACTAGTCTTTTTGACCAGTCTGTTGAACAGTTTTAAGCCATTAAATCTTTGAAAGGGCTTAAAATAGTTTAAGTCCACTTTCCAATGTCAGTCTTTAGCAAACTTTACTGTTATAGTTGCTGTTACAGTGCATGGTGCTCAGCTGTATACCACTGAGTAAACAAATAGAGTAATGACATAAGACTGGCAAATGTCAAATGCACACACTCGGGTAAATAAAGAAGATAGAGTTTACCTCTGCTGAATTTCAGGATGATTTTCTAGCATGGTGATGTCGCTTTAGAGTTGTTGTTTTTATCAGCTATTTCCTCCCCATACGGTTTACCGTGTTTTTGTCTTGACATCAAATATGAATCTTCTTTTCTCTCAGCCTGTTGTCATCTCATTATATATAGTTTAATCCGACAGACGCCCCTATGGAAGATGATGTAATCGCATCCCGCGTCTACTGTAGATCAGTTACTTTTCAAATGTGTGTGAAAAGTGTATTTTCAGATTATTCTGATTGGATGTTTACCAAAAACATCCCTCAATCACATTCTCATGTCGTTTTTATTAGTCAACGAAAATGTCAGTATATTTTTATTATAGTTGTCGTCATCATCACTTAATTTTTTAGTTTTCGTCAGTTGAAACTTGCTCGTCACCGAAATTAACACTGATCACAGCAAGAACATTGCTGATTCGAGTCCCAACTGGTGTCTCAAAAACATGCGTTGTACGGGAATTGGATAAACTAAATTGGCCGTAGTGTGTAATTGGGAGTGTGTATGGGTGTTTCCCAGCACTGGGGATTATACTGTCAGTGCTGGGTTGTGGCTGGAAGGGTATTAGTTGTGTAAAACATATGCCAGAGTAACTGGCAGTTCATTCCACTGTGGTGACCCCTGGTAAAAAAAAATGGAATAAGCTGTAGGAAAGCGATTATTTAATAATTTTTGGCCCTATACGGTGACGCAGTGGGTAGCGCTCTCGCCTCACAGCAAGAAGGTTGCTGGTCCGAGCCTCACCTGGGTCAGTTGGCATTTCTGTGTGGAGTTTGCATGTTCTCCTCGTGTTTGTGTGGGTTTTCTCCGGGTGCTCCGGTTTCCCCCACAGTCCAAAGACATGCGGTACAGGTGAATTGGGTAGGCCAAATTGTCCATAGTGTGAATGAGTGTGTATGGATGTTTCCCAGTAATGGGTTGCAGCTGGAAGGGCATCCACTGTGTAAAACATATGCTGGATAAGTTGGCAGTTCATTCGGCTGTGGCGACTCCAGATTAATAAAGGGACTAAGCCGACAAGAAAATGAATGAATGAATTTTGGCCCTAATTGCCCTCCATACAGCATGCATACTGTACTAGTGACTAAATTTTGTGCATGGACTTTGTATAGATAATTCAGCTTATGCCAAAAAAATATATTTATAATGACTCTTCCTTGTCACTTTTGGTTCAGATGCGGTCTCAGGAGTCTCCCTCAAACATGCCTCCTCTCCTGGTTGGAATTTCGTGAAGCCTCACCTTCAGGATCAACACAAAATGATGACAGCCTCGTGACAGACATCATGTGCTGCAGAAAAGACTCCAGACTGAGAGTGCTGCCATCTCATATTAAAAGATCTCCAAGATCATGTAGAGATCTGTTTTATTTACAACATAACAGCCACCAAAAAGCTCTCAAAGTTGCTTTTGAGTAGATGAGTATTATGGACTTATTATTTGGATTTGCTGTCATGTCTTTAACCAAAGTGGCATCTCATGGGTTTATGTTTGGGTTTGTTTTGAACCAGCAACACTATTAATGTGCAATTATAATACTACTGTGCTACCAGCCAGACCTGCTACACTGTAAATGAAAGTCAACCCAGGGATGAACTGAAGACCGATGGTGCAATAATAGTTCAGTCAGCCTGCTACTGTAGTTTTGAAATTGGTATGTCCCAATACAGGATCTGTTCGTTTGTTATTTGCTGTTGCCAAAGTATGAGTCTGTTGCTTTTTATGAACTAACCCTTTGCTGTTTTTTTTGTCTCTGTAAATTTGAATCCCCCCATTTTGTTCCTATTTTTTTCTTGAACTGAAGAGTATCTATGTTTTGTTTTGTTTTGTTTTTTTTGGTTTTGTCCAAAAAATAATCCGTGTTTTATATTTCTATCTGCTGTATCAGCTCTTTTTGATGGACCATTTAGTTTTATTTTATTTGTTTATTTTTGTTTTGTTTCAGATTAAATTTTTGTTTAATTAATTTTTTTTTATTTGTTTTGTTTAATTTTGTCATTTTTTTAATGTTAGACTTGCAACGTCTTTAACTAGGCTCCCATGAGATAAAAGAGACTAACTCAAAGCCATTATTTTTAAGATACTAAGGTTACATTATTAAATTATTATCTTTGTTAGACACTGCTGATCATTTTGCGGATGTGTGTAGCTTTTCTGTTTAATGTGGATTTAAAAGGAAGTCTGTTGCTCTTGCATGAACTGCACAACTTTATGCTCTCACTGACAGTATTTCAGTTTTACTGCTGTATTAAGACACATCCTGCGGTTTCTGCTGTATGTATGAACTGATCTGGTGCCATTTGCTTTGTATCTTGTTTGTATATGAGATGGCTGTTTGCTGCTCTTATAAGGTGAGGCGTGCACTGCACACATTATGATTATCTTATGAGAGAAAGGAGAGCTGTGGGTCATTTCAAGTCAACTTGCACTCGTTTTATGACAATCAAATATCTCTCAAATGTTTGTAACTTTTGGAAAATATTGGTAGCAATGCAGTTTGATTCACCTTTGTAAATTAATGTAAATTGAGTGAGGTTTGTTTTTGAGAGGAATGCATGTGTACTTCAGGAAAATGTGTGTGAAGAAAACAAAAAAGGGACATTTTAATAAAAAGGGAAAAACACCTGTTGAATATTTGTGTCTATATTCTTTGATTAAATCAACATCAGTTTAAATTAGTTATGTCTTACTAGCAAAAACACACCTAAAATAGTTTTTGATTTTTTTTTTTGAAAAATGTCAATTTTATTAATGTATTTTTCATAATTTCTTGGTATATTTACACCTTCGTAACAACAGATGGCACAGTAATGTTACTCCACATTAATTCACAATTAATTAATACGTTTACAATTAACATTGCCCTTCTGTCATTCAAAACACTTATGTTCATCATCAGTTATGTTCATCATCAGAACACAAAGGAGGAAATCTAATCAAATCAGAGATTTCTGTTCTTCACTGAGTGTATATCCACCCAAAAATGCCATATACCCAAATAACAAGTCATATATGAATCCAATCAATAGGGTATATGCCGAAGTATTCTAAAGGACTTTTAGTTTGTCGGTAAACTGAATTAAGCGCTTCCGGTGAACTGTATACCATTGCAAAATCGGCAAATTTAACGTCTGTTTTCTTTTAAAAATTGGCAATCTCCAATGGTGATATCCGATATAAAGTGGATCTCAGATTATAGAAGAAGCACTGCATTAAATTACACTTTCCCCGCCATGTCTTTAAAATATGAACATTTATTTTACCCCAATATATTCAATGGCGCTTCTGCGCTAGCCTGTTGATTCTGACGAGCGCGTGCGAGTAAATGGCTTTTTGTCTCGTTTTACACTTGAGTTAAATAAAGGACAAAGTCTATTTAACTGATTGTATTTTATTATTATTACAACATTGATGCTGTAAAAGGAACCGTATAAAATGGAAAAAGTCACATTAACCATTCACCTGAAGTTTACCATTATGGAAAGAAACAATAGCTCCGCTTATAACCTATTCATTTTTCAAGAACAGACAATCGCATTAAGTTATGAATAGATTTAATTATTGTATAACTATACATATATAGTTTATAACTTTTAACAAAGTTCAATAGGCTATGTGCACACAGACTTTTAATTTTCAGCTAAGCAGCCCAATGGCTTCCGGTGAACTCTTTCCATTACAAAATTGTCACGTTTAAGATCTGATTATTTCTTTTAAAATCAGTGATCTTCACTGCCTGTTAGATTTACAATATGAAGTAGTTATCAGACCAAACATAAAGCCCTGCATAAAATTCCGCCGCCATGTCTTTAAAATATGAGTTTTATTTTACTCAAGTACTTTCACTGGAATTTCTGTGCTAGCATGTTGCTACTGATGGCGCTAGCGGTTCCAACGGTCTTTCCAACTCGTTTTATGCTTAAACAACTAAATGAATGCTTAAGTATTTTTAACTGAATGTATTGCAGTCACATTACAGCATCGATTCTGTAAAAACAACCTTGTGAAATTGAAAATAGTCACATTAAAGCTTTCACCGGAAGTTTATCGTTGGCTTGAAAACTCGAGTGGTGCCTAGTAGAGCGCGTGATTTTTTTTCCCAAACCAGTTCAGCGCAAACCACGCCCCCTACGCGAAAACCCCACCCCGCTGCTGTGACTCACGTCCGTGGCTCGATTTCATTGGTCCAGCAGCTCCAGCTTTATCACAATGGCAGCGAACACAAACTATTTTTTAATAAAAGACCTAAAATACGAAAGGTTAACAAAGTGCGTGTATGAAATAAAACGTAGTACAAACAACCTACAGCTTATATAAAAAGCTGTGTTTAATGAATAAAAATAGTGCCAAAAATACATGAAGTAAACACACACACAACAGCATCTTAACAATGAGAAAACTTTACTCAAGTACAAAAACCAGCAAAAAACACACAAACATAATATTTATTTAAAAAACATTTTTATATATTATTAATTTAACACAGCCCCTGCATGCAAACATAACCTCTTCATCTTTCGCTGTCTAGTATAAAATAGTTAAATTGAAAGATTTATTCTTACAATATCTTGTATTAATTCAGAGAAGTGGGATATGAATGTGTATAATTTGTTGTCAAAATTTAGATATTTTGCAAAATAACCCATTTTTTTATTAAAGAATGTTACATTTGTGGTATCAAATTTGAAAATATTTGAAATATATAATGTTTAATGAAACTAAAAGGTCCTGTTAGACTCAAATTTAAAGAATTAAATTATTTATTTATATTGTCTATGCTTTGGGATTTGTGGATATTTCTTTTATAATATTGAGTAATAAATGATTTACTGAGTAATTAAGTTTTTAATTAAATTGAATAAAAAAGTAATTTAAAATACAATTGTATTTATTTTTAAATTATAACTAGTAATAATCAATAATGAATTACGTTTTCAGAGTAACTTACCCAACACTGCACATAATCTGCATATCAGATGAAAATCAACTGAAGCACAAATACATTGAACTATACCTGTTTCTATACAGAGTTTGAATGTTTAATAACTGCAAATGAGACCAACATATGTTCTGCAGGCCTTTCAAATAAGGCTTTCATTTAATGCTGAAAACAAGTTAAAATTGATCATATGATTCCTCTCACAGTGCCTATTGTTTTACCTTTAATGACCCGAAAATGAGAATAATCAGTTGGACAGCAATAATATTCATTGTTAGAGCCCTCCCATAAAAAATAAATAAACAATACCCATTTTGGTAACACTTTATAATAACTACACGCTAATAATGTATTAAGCATTAGCAAATTTAATTCATCATTTGTTAAGCATTAACTCTACATTAACAGAAGTTAGTAAGCAGTTTGTAACTACAGATACAAATGCTCTATTCTTGATTTATAAGCACATCTATAATGTGCTTAATGATTGTATTTTCATACTTTGTTAATAATATTTTTTTTCAATACTTAAGTATTGTATCATTTACAAACCAATTTTTTGAGAGTACTTTGTGGCTTTTAAAGATCATTTAGAACGCATAAGTAAATAATAAACCATTCAAATTAACATTTATATATCTTATTATTCAGGCATTTACTAATAATTAATTTGTATGTTAATAAATGCTTTAGTATTTTAACTTCATCCAGTTTTGTGACCTAATCTAAAGTGAGGACTATTTATGCTTTATAAATCCCTTATAAATAACAATTAAAGGCTCAGTTATCTTCTAAACAGGGGAAAAAACACGACTTGATTTATTTCTTATCATTTGAAGATACATAAATGAATCTGTATCAAATAAAAAATACATTTTTGCAATCTTAACTAAAATAAAGTTACCGTACAGTTTAAACTTCGCTAAATAACATTATAATGTTGTATCATAATATATTGTTAAATTATTATATTGTTGTTGTTTTTTTTATCCAATTTTATGTCGTATTTTGACACTCCTGTTATTCGGCAATGTTTAAACTTTACAGTAATTTTATTTTTTAGATAGGATTACAAAGATGTACTGTTCATTTGACACTGAGCCTTTAATTGTCATTTATTAGGCATTTATAAAGCATAAATTGTCCTCACTTTAGAAATAGGTAGAGTGGCTCTGATAGGCTAGTTGGCTTTGCAGAGGTGGCCAATCCTGGAGCTTAGTTGGTGGCATCAGTGGCTCTGGAAGCGTTGGCTATGGCAGCAGCAGATCTGCCAGCTCTAGCACCACGGGCTCTGGCAGTTTTGCTGGAATGGGTCTGAATGTGGTTGAGGCTTTGTGAGCGGTTCTGTTGACAGTAACTCTGGTGAATCTGGCATCAATAGCTCTGGTGGCAACTGGCAGCTCAGGCTCTGACATGGTGGCATCTCAACAGCGTTAACTCTTGCAGTGGTGGCAACTACAGTGACCCCTACAACCTTGTGCCTCAATGCACATTGTACAAGCGCACAGAGGTTGATTAAGTGGGAATATGGGGTTCATTGTTCCTGAAAAATAAAAATAAATTACACAAAGAAACTTAAAAAAAAATATTTGTACAATTTTGACATTTCTAACTCACCTACTTGATCCTCCCCTTTTGTCTACAGTCTTTACCAAAGTGCAAACCCTTTTTGCCCCACAGCATATTTTTGGACAGCCGTTGTTGACAAGCCATGCCTGATCGAACATGAACATTGTGCTGGCACCTTTAATGAGCCCACAGAAAAAAATATAAATGTTTAAATGTTTAAGTGTGCAGAAATGTTAGATATTTTTATTTTACATTTAGAAATTTCAAACGTTTACAACAATGATGCAGCAATATTCTAAATGATCTGTCAACAAAACATACAGGAAATCTGTAGGACATGTATGTAGCATTTGTTTTGAGATTCATTCGTTATTTTAATGAAGCATTTTTACCTAAAGATCACCTCAGATGAGATAAGTGAGTGAAAGTTTACTTTGTTCTATAAAAGCAAGGTTTTGTTGTTTTTGTGAGTATCCACAAATAAAAAAAAAAACAGTTGCTGCTTTGAATGGTCATTCTCTTATCTTAATGACCAAAATGACAGAATATTTGAAGATTTACACTGCCATTAGAAAAAAAATACACACACACACACACAAACACACACACAAACACACACACAAACACACACACACACACACACACACACACACACACACACATATACAAGCATACCTGCAAGTTTGTCAATATCGTGAGTTAAAGCTTTTATGCAGTGAATATTGGATACTTTTAATTATTTAGCATTTAAATCAAATGAATAAATGCCCATCATCACAGACAAGCATGCAGGCAGTAAATCACTAAATGTCTCAGAAAGTTATATGTTTATTAATAAGGACTGTCATCAATATAACCATTGCAGCTATTTTATCTGCACAGACTTGTTTCTAGGTGGTCTGTCAACTCACAGAAATCATGTATATTTAAACTAATCAGAGGACGACTGAGGATCTTTAAAAAGGTTTCCAGAAAAGTGTGCCATATGCATCAGAAGTTGCTTGGCATGATGTCTGAGGCTGAGACTATATGATTTCAGAATCACTGTGGCTGTGCATATGAAAATCTGTCTATCCAGTCATCTATCCATATGACCTGTCCTAAGTTTATACAAATACTGGAGCCATCACAAGGGTAAAAATCTCACTGGACAATTACAAACCATTAACCAAGTCAATGTTAACTGAGATTTCTAACTGGCACACTAAAGCAAAATATATTAATAAACATCTCAATTTGTGTGAAGAATCTAAAATGTTTTGAACAGTAGAACTATGTATGTTTACAATATTTACTGTAAAGTTATTTTCAGTGTGTTACATATATATAATGTAACAAAGAATGAACTGATTTGACATTGTCCCTTTTTAGGTTTTGTCACTGCCACTCTCCAACTTACTCAAGACTCACTAAGTTTTTTTATCCATTCCTTTACTCCCCAAATCTCTCAATGCATTTTTTAGAATTGCTTCAAAACATGTGTGGCCCAAATGTGATTTACTGTTTGTACGGCCTAAGCGATATTCTCGAGGCAACCAGTTCTGTAAAAGTAGAAATAATTTACCTGAAAGAGTGTTCACCCATAAACATTTTAACTGAGAAATCCCAAAATTTTACAGTAAGCCAAGTTTATTACAATAAAAGTAATAATAATAATTTATATTATTTATAAATCTTTTAATGTTGTTCAAACGTTTGAGATCAATATTAGCTTTTTTTGCTCATCAAGGCTGCATTCACTTTAATAAAAATACAGAAAGTTGCATTATTGTGAAATGTTAATGAAATTTAAAGTAATATTTATATTTTGATGTAAATCGATCATTTATTCCTGCGATGTGAAAGCTGAATTATCAACATTATCACTCTAGTCTTAAGTGTCACACCATAGTTCAGAAATCATTATAAATGCTAATTTATTATCATTGTTGGAAACAGTTTAATTAAATTAGTTTTCAGTCAATAAGAAACACATTATTTTAACTTCAGCATTTATTTAATTCTGTATTTTGGATTAATTGAAGCATCCTTCTATAAACAAAATTACAATCCTTGCTGATCCCAAATTTTTGAAAGACTGTGTGTACTAAATTTGTAATTTGTGTGTTAAATAATAAAAAAAAAAAAACTATGTATTTTTTACCTTTAGATCCGCAGCTTGGTCTTTGGGACTACAATCGTAACTTACTCTCCTGAGGGCGATCGAAAATGATAAAATAAAGATAAAATAAATAAAATGAACACTATAAAAAAAAACATACAACTCACATCTCCATGAAAAAATTATTAATATTAAACATTATTAAGCAAGAAGTGTTTACCGTTTGTCAACGATAGATCCATTAGAGACGAACTTGATTGATGTGCACTCTGAACTTCTTTCTCAGACGACAAGTAACAACGTTGCCCAATGAAATCGCGCGTGTCACAGCTGCGGGGAGGGGTTTTAGCGTAGGGGCGTGGTTTGCGCTGAACTGGTTTGGGAAAAAAAATCACGCTAGTAGAGCCCATTAGCAAACATACCTGCTTGGCGTGAGGAGGACAAACCTCATTGGTTCAAACGTGCCGCGTGACACCAAAGGATGAACCTCATTGGTTCTGAACTGTCATGCACGTTTAAGCTTCCATGTCATTAGGTGCGTTCGACTTCATGCAGCGCTGCGCAGATCGATCGAAATCTGTCTTAAAGCGGTGCATTCTGGTTAGAAATCTTGTTCGGATTGATGCTGCGCTGACGCCACGTGACTGTCACATGTGGCATCAAAGTACCGCGACAGCGCTCCGAGATCAGACGGCAAACTCAGACCGTGCAGCTTCTGAAGAGCGACTGCAGGAGCTTTGATGACGACACGGATATTGCACGATTGGCCAAGTTCACCACATGACAACAAACACGTGTATTTCAGGTTTATAATTGGACAAATTCCGATTCAAAAGTTTCAAAACAAACAATTCACTTTTCACACCCTCTCTATCCTGTACACATCTTGCTTATTAAAAGACTACAAATATTTTACTGCAGTAATCATCTTTTGTTAAATAATCTGGTTATAAAGGTTGGCTTGTTTGCACAGGTTTATTTTTAACTTTTTTATACAGACTATTTACTGCATTCATCTCCATAAACGATTTAAATGATATATTTTAGTGTATATTTTAGTGAATAACCTAAATATGAACTCAAATAAGTCTTACAGACTTGAAATAAAAAAATCATCCTCATCTTACAGACTTGAAATAAAATAATCATCATCATTGATCCTGCCACCCTAAAGCTCTCTTAACAAATTAAAGTAAAGAACTATTTTATTAAATAATTATAAAATGGTTTTATTATTATAATATAAATATATATTTTATTTCCTGTCTAGTAGTTTAAAGGCTACCTGCTCTTTCTGGGAAACTTCTACATAGCTCACTTATTTTACCTTTTGTTCTTTTCAACACAATCTTTTTGGATTAAAATACTTTTTTGAAAATTCATCCATTATCCAAAATAATCTCATTTATTAAGACCTAATCAAAACACCTTGTTTTGCTTTTTACATTGGAAATTTTTTTATCTATAAATGTACATATATGCAAACCCCTTTTTTAGCATATTCAAACAAGAAGTATTAGCCTAAAGATTGATGTTTAACTCCTAGAATTTATGCTTATTGCTTTGTATGTAATAGACCTGTTCGTTTTAATGTTTATATTAACCTCTCATTTCCTCTTATTTCTCTCATGCATTTGTTATATATGTTATTCATAATTCTCTCTTATTGTTTAAAAAGGAACTACAGTTTGTAGTGACTGTATTCTGTTTTATTTGTAAATGTTTTGTTGTTATAAATAAAAATAACAAAAAAATATGATGACGCCATGTGATCGGTCATCATGACTGCAGCAACTTTGAGCCCCGAAGTGTCCAGCTGTCCGTCTTGACGGCTCCGTTTTCAACTCCGCCCCCACCTGCACTCGGCTAATCTCGTTGATCACCGGCTGCAGCTGAGCTTCATGTCGAACGCACCTATTATCTGAAAGCATTTAATACAGTTTGCTTATCAATATAAATATGTGAATTAAAGCCTAAATTAAATATATTATATTATAACAGAAAAGTGTAAAGGCTACTCAGGTGGTCTCTTTATAAACATTTTGAGTTTGGAGAGAACAGTCTTGGAGGGCATTTCGTTTTTTATTGCTGAATATGAACGAAAGAGGTTTGGGGAGGATGTGATGGTGAGTGAATTACATTTACATTTAGTCATTTAGCAGACGCTTTTATCCAAAGCGACTTACAAATGAGGACAAGGAAGCAATTTACACAACTAAGAGCAACAATGAATAAGTACTAAAGGCAAGTTTCAGGTCTGTAAAGTCTAAGAAGGGAAGTGTTAGTAGTTTTTTTTTGTGTACAGTTAGTGTGATATTCAAAGAGGCAATTGCAGATTAGGAAGTGAAGTGGAGACTAAATAGTTGAGTTTTTAGTCGTTTCTTGAAAATAGCGAGTGACTCTGCTGTTCTGATGCAGTTAGGGAGTTCATTCCACCAACTGGGCAGATTGAGCGTGAGCGTTCGCGAAAGTGATTTTTTCCCTCTTTGGGATGGAACCACGAGGCGACGTTCATTCACAGAACGCAAGTTTCTGGAGGGCACATAGATCTGCAGAAGTGAGTGCAGATAAGAAGGTGCTAGGCCAGAAGTCACTTTGTAGGCAAACATCAGAGTTTTGAATTTGATGCGAGCAGCAACTGGCAGCCAGTGCAAACGGACTAGCAGCGGAGTGACATGTGCTCGTTTAGGTTCATTGAAGACAACTCGTGCTGCTGCATTCTGGAGCAGTTGAAGAGGCTTGATAGAGTTAGCTGGAAGCCCAGCTAGTAGAGAGTTGCAGTAATCCAGTTTGGAGAGAACAAGAGCTTGAACAAGGAGTTGAGCTGCATGTTCAGATAAGAAGGGTCGGATCTTTCTGATGTTATAGAGTGCAAATCTGCACGATCGAGCAGTTCTAGAAATGTGGTCAGAGAAGTTTAGTTGGTCATCAATCGTTACTCCAAGGCTTTTCACCATTTTGGATGCAGTAATGGTTGCCCCATCCATCTGGATTGAAAAGTTATGGTGTAGAGTCGGGTTGGCAGAAACTACAAGCATTTCCGTTTTTGCGAGGAATTATGACGGAATGTTTGTTTTCATAGTCAAAAACAATAACCCTATCTCATTCATCTGTTTTGTCCAGTAGAAAACATGCATTATCTTACGGAGAACAATGGCAGGCTTAACATCCTGACTAATATTCAAATATGGGTATATATGATATTCAGAAGTATTGAAAATAATATGAGCTATTAGTAAACTGTTAAAAATGTAGATTTCCGAACTTGCTGCATTTGTTTGACCGAAAAAAGTTAAATGGTACTGCAAAATAATACTGCATTAAACAAAAAAATTTTTATATATTTTAGTCAAGAAGCTGAACTTTCCCCCGGAAGTGGTCCATTCTTAAAGAGATAGATGTCCCAAAATTTTTGATTTACTAAATAAAAATTTTTTTTTCTAACACAAGTGTTTCCAAACCTTTAAGATTTTGTTTATTCTGATGAACACTTTAAGATATTTTGAAGAAAATCTGTAACCATTGACTTCTATAGTAGGAAAAACTAATTTTATGCAAGTCGGTGGTTACAGGTTTCCTGCTTTCATTAAAATATATTTTTTTTGTTCAACAGATTAAAGAAAAGCAGAGTTAGAAAACATTCTAAAAGCAAATGTCCCATTTAACATTTTTGTTATATTTTTAAAACTGTTCAGGATTCGCCGATACAAGTATTATTTACAAAATTTATTTGAAATAGTCATAAAAGTTTGTGTAACATATGTCTTTACTGCCTCTTTACTGTTAAATGCGTCTTTCATAAATTAATTTATTGTAATAAAAATTTAATAAAACACATCACAACAAACTATTAAAATACAACCTTTAATGTAAACAGGAGTTTCTAAAATAACAAAACAATGGGGATCAAAAGGCAACACAAGTTCAATAACATTGATCTTTCCAGGTCAGGAATTAGTGAGACCCTCACAAAGACTGAACTAATGATATAAGGCACACTAAGCTCTTGTCATTGCGTGGCTCCCCGATTTGCATTGATTCTGTTTTTCTCATTTTTTAAATGTGGATATATATATTTTTCTGCATAGTGTAAAGACTCGACTGTGGCCCATCCTAATTCACCTAAACATTTATATTCATTTATATATATACACACATTTATATAGTGCACAATGGCTTCATCGTTTGCTCAGATATTACATGAATATCAAGACAAAATCATACAAATTGTAAAACATGTCATAAATGTATCGATTACATATAAAGGTGCAGTTATACATCAGTGTAAACAAGAATTAGGTTGGGCCCTGACCACAATGCAAGACACCATCGTGGCTTCTTTTTTTTTTACTTTGGTAAGTGAACAAAACATTTTGTCCCATCATGGAGGGTGTTTTCAAAGAGAAGTGAATGAAATTTGTGCGTGTAAAAACATGCAAGACATTCATCATTTAGAGATGCCTAACCCAGACCTCATATACTCATACACCACATAACTAATGCTGACAGCGGGGATCACTTTCATGAAGTTGGGCAGGATCCCACGATAGAGACCAAAAAAGCCCTCCTTCTGCATGATCTTCTTCACTAATTTGGACATAGACACCTGCTCTGATCCTTCCATTGACGCTGAGAAGAATAAAAGAAAAACATCAGGAAATCACATTCGCAAAAAGTGTTGATCACCAAAAAATTCAGGATCAGTAGGAATTTGTAAGGTTTTTAAAATAAGCATATTGTGCTCATCAAGGCTCAAAAACATTGAAAAAAACTTTACATTTAAAGTAATTGTTTTATTATTGAATTTAATATAAACTGTAAATTATTCTTTTGCGATTTAATCTGAATTTTCAGCATCATTACTCGAGTTTCCAATATTCTATTGTTTCAATAATGGGCGGCACGGTGGCTCAGTGGCCACTGGTTCGAGTTCACACTGGGTCAGATGGCATTTTTGTGTGGAGCTTGCATGTTCTCCCTGTGTTGGCATGGGTTTCCTCTGGATCAAAGACATGCGGTAAAGCTGAATTGAATAAACTAAATTGGCTGTAGTGTATGTGTGTGAATGAGTGTATGAGTGTTTCCCAGCACTTGGCTGCAGCTGGAAGGGCATCTGCTGCATAAAACATATGTCGGAATAGTTGGCGGTTCATTCCGCTGTGGTGACCTCTGATAAATGAGCCAGTAAGCCGAAGGGAATTGAATGAATGAATGTTAAAATGATCATTAGCACTCATTCATTAATTATTATATAGTACTTATAATTCCTGCTTACATCTTTTTATATCACTTTTTACAATTTTACTTACTATTTTTTGATGAAAATAATATCAGAATACAAAATAACAGAATCTACTTAAAACATAACCTGTTGTTGTGTTTTTAAATTAAAATCTCTTTACTTTCACTCTTGAAAAATGTAATATGTCCTTGATAAATATTAGAGAATAGTTTTTGAACAAGACTGTATCACAGTTTACACAATAATATGCAGCCACCAAATAGTTGTCAGAATCAGAATCTCAAAGATTTCTTGAGAAGATGGTACTTGAATGATTTCTGATGGCTCGTGTGACACTGAAGACTAGAATAATTATTTTAAAAATGATTTGAAAATACATTACCTAAGAAAATATTAACTTGTAATAATATGTCTGTAATAATTGTACCATTGTACCTATTTTTGTACCTCTTACTGTATTTCTGATCAAATAAACACAGCATGGATGAGCAGAATATTCTTTTTTTTTAAAACAGCAGTGTGTACTGTGTAGATTGTTAATGTGTTTACCCATGGCCTGCATGCGTGTGCGGATCAGAGCGAGAGGGTAACTGGCCAACTGTCCGCATGTGCTGGAAATGGTCCCACAGCCGAGGAGAACCAGCACTCCTGGGTTAGCAGTGTCTTTAGCATAGTGAGACAACCAGGTGTTCTTCAAGGTCTGTGGAGAGAGTCAAATTATACATCTTCATGCTTTACAATAAACACTCATGTTGCCATATAAGAGGACACCAGCACAGATGCATCTGGCACACAATGCAGATTTTCTATTTGAAATAGGATTACCAGTTTTTGTGCTTGATTATCTGAATTTATAAAAATACACAAAGGAAAACTAGTTACCCATTTATTAAAACTAATAGAAAACATGGCTAAAATGTTCTGTATTTCAAATAAAGCAAAATCCTAAACCGAAGTAAAGTTATATCTATAAATGAATGAAATGCTTCATTTTTTTCTAGCAAGTTTAATTTTTAATTTATTTATTTTTCTTTCACAATTTAACAACCTATACAAAGAGATATATTTTTCGACTAATTGCAGAACAAACCACTGTAGTCCAATTACTTGCCTAATTAACCAAATATGCTGAGTTAACCTATTTAACCTAGATAAGCCTTTAAATTGCACTTTAAACTGAATAAAAAAACTTCCAAAAGAAGTTGTAAAATACTATGTAGTCATCATAGTAAAGATAAACAAAATTAGTTATTAGAAAATATTTTTTAAGCAAATCATGAAAATATCATAATCATGAAAATAGTTATTAAAAAACATGTTTTTAAGCAAATCATGAGCCTGAAAAACTTGAAAATTCCCCAGAGGTGAGAACAGGTCTGAAAAAATGAAGCTGAAATATTCAAACACTGGATGTAGGCATGGTACGATAACCATTTTCAAGGTATACTGCGGTTTGGAAAAGTCAAAGTTTTAAAACTGCAAAATGTTCTGCAATACCCTTTCTAAGGTATGTGTACAACCTTTTTTTGTTTTTTAGGACAACAATATCTTCAGCAGAAAAGATATCAAAAGATGCCGTTTTAAATTGTAAAAAAAAAGTTTTTGAAACTAATAAAGACAGCAGAAGTCAATAATTCATTTGAATGATTTAGCCTGAAAATTTTACTATTCCAAAATATTTTAAATGTTTCTTAAAATTAAATATATTGTGTTTAAAAGGAAAAATATTTTTGTTTTTTACTCAGACATTTAAAAAGAATATATTTTAGAGCAGTAATTACAATACCGTGAAACTGATATTTTTATCCAAGGTTATCATACCGTCAGAGTCTTACACTGGCCCATGCCTAACTGGATGTGTAGTCTACCAAAAAAAAATTGAGGTATTTTAAACAGTGTTCCACAGTTTGTGCTCACCTCATACACCGCTAAATCTATTCCAGCATAAGGAATAATTCCCAGAATATTGGGCACATAGCCTTTATAAAAGGCTTTCACTCCTTCCTTCCTCAGGATCTTTTTGGCACAGTCAAACATCCCAGAGTACTGACCAGTCTTCCTCAGAGTAAGCCTGGTCTTCATTACCTACAATATAAAAGACAATATGATATAAAATAAAGAACTTTAAGGCAAGACACCTGCAGATACATAGGGTAAAAAAATTATTAGGATTACATTAGAAATTGAGTACATTTTTGTATTTAAGTTTTCTAAAAAGTAAATTTTTTCTCCAAAAATATTTTTATTGGTTTTTTTTATTCCTTCCTAATTCAGAAAATACTGCGGTCGACTGCCTGATCAAAAATAAAAAAAAACTCTGAAACTTCAAGAACAAATCCCTGAGTAAAGACCTTCAAAATGCAAATATGAATAGAATTTTGATGCATGTGTTGAATGTATGGCTGAGTGCAGGAGATAAAAACTCTTTGAGAAAACCGAAAAACCTTTTAAAATAAGTATTGTGATTGAAATCTATTGAACTTTTTCTGCAATGCAGAAGTGCGCTCATTTTTTGCGATTAAGTAATATGTGAAGAATAAGGTCAATAGACACAAATAGATCAAGTGTAACTTGACTGTAAGCAAAGATCAGCCTGAAACAAAGAATACACTATGAAAAGCAAAAATACATTATTGTTACTGGGAGTTCAAGCTCTTTTAAATGGACAATATTGAACTACTAAATTAATTCATGTACAGTGCTCAGCATATACAAGTACAACCCACACAAATCTATATTTTAAATTCATATTTTTAACAAGAAGCTATGTGTGCATTTACATTAGATTAGTCAGTAATGAATCTAAATCTGGAGCTTATCTAACAAAGTAACTTATAATAACGGTCCAAAAACTAGTACACCCAAATTCATATGTTATAGAAAAATATTAAATAGAAATTTTAAAAAGAGGAAAAAATCAACAACCAAAAAAATTGAAATTGTGTAGGTTGTAATTGTTTTTGCAATATTTTGTTTGAATTTAATTGTATTATCTTTTCATTTTTATATATGTTTGGTGACTAAAATGTTTTTATAAATCTGTCTGTTCAATAAACCTGTTTAAATACACCAAATACACTTAATAGTTTAAATGCACCAAAATACATTGCCTATATTCACTGAGAAATGGATAAAAATATTAATTTTCAAAATAGGGTGTACTCAATTATGCTGAGCACTGTACTTTAGATGTTTCCTACTTATTCTTCCATGAATAATCCACATCCGTGGGTCTCATTTCTCACCTCCATGGGGTAGATGGCTGTCTGAGCAGTAGCTCCAGCCAGAGAACCAGCCATGAACCTCTCGTGGGACTGGACTTTTCCTCCGTCTTTGCTCAGGAGCTTCTTATACTGTCCCAAAACACAGACACACACACACACAACAAAACATTATGCAAGAGTGATTTAATGTGCGAAAGCTTACAGATGGCTTTAAAACAATCTGTCCTCTTTTCATTAAGTAAAGGAAATGCGATCATCTTCATTTCAATTATACACTGTCCTCCACACCGGATTACAAATCCAGGCTTTTGTGAATGACTGCTGTTAAAATAGCTCTCTCTGACACGCTGCTTGTGTAAGACACTTAAGCAGTATCACATGAGCAGTCGGATTTACAGCTATGTTGATATTCAATGAAATAATTGCATAATGCGAACACTGAGTGAATGATGTTTTTCACACAATATGGCCAGTTGAAGGGAAAAAGTAGCTCAGAGATTTAGATTGTGGTAAGGGAAAATGCAAAAGAGGAAGTGGTTTTCAGTGTTTGTGGGTTTCTTGGTAACGCTGGTGTCTCAGCGTCAAATACACGAAGCATCCATCTCATCAAAAATGCAGGCCAGGCTAGTATTTGTCAATTTCAGATATACATGAGGTTTGTAGTCAACCAGTGTTGTTTTTGGTTGTCAGGAGCTCAAACATGCCAGACATCTGCATGAATAGGGAACATTTTTACTAAGCTGCATTTTTGTAATTTAAACAGAAAGCTGTAGGGGAAACCAACAGTTTTAACCCAAAATGAGCAGTCTGTCAGATGAAGAAGAGCCAGAGTCAGAGATTCAATTGAATAAAAAGTTTACTGAAGATAGTTTGCAGTTTCATCAGCAGGAGGCAGCTTCAACACTTGCAAAGAGTTTATAGGCCTTTCTGCTTACAATTTCAAAAAAACAACAATTATATTGTAGTGATGCAGCACATTCCTTTGTATTAAAAATCAAAACCACATGAAAATATTATACATGCTAGTGCAACCTGGAGCGGACATCCATCAGAAAAGCCACGCCTTCAAAGCACTTTTTAAAATAGGTGCCGATAGTTTTGTTGTTAAGTGTATTGACATACAGCCTCATTGTGCTCACAGCAATCTGAGTTCTATTCCCTGTTTGAGATCATTTGCTGATCCTCCCCCAGAGTGTTTGCGGGGTCTTAAAATGTCTTCAATTTCAAAGAAAAAATCTTAGGCCTTAAAAAGTCTAAAATTCACTGAAATTTTGTGTTTTATGTCTTAAATAGTTTTAAACAGGTCTTCATTTTCCTCTGTCCATGTAAAGTTACCCAATTACATTTGTTTATAATGTTTTTATAATATTTTAACTGGGACATTAGAAAAAATATTTAGCGTTTAGCCCTTTGTAAGTCTTCATTCATAATTAGAGTCATGTAATATGAGAAAAATATCTAATGGCTCGTTTCCACTGACTGGTACAGTACGGTATGGTTTGGGTCGGTACGGGTCACCTTTATTAGGCTTGCGTTTCCACTACCAAGGGTACCCTTTTGGTGGGCGTTGTGTATGACAAAGTTTCAGTCGCATCATTCTCGCTCGAGGAAATGTCTACAATTAAGCTGTACGGGTCGCTCACATATCATTTGAAAAGCACTTTTCACAAAACAGACACTTTATACACATAAATACTTCTGTATAAATGTTTATTACTAACTTTTCTATGAACAGGATTTGATTATAACTGTAGATCAATGACAGCGCGAAATAGCCTACTGTGACGTCTGTAATTATATTAAATAAATAAATAAATGAACATTTAATTGCTATTTTTTTATTGCGATTTTGATTTTAATTAATTTTCATTTATTTTGTAGTGAAACTTCAGCTCAATAATCTGTATTGTACTTCGTATTGCTAAAATGCAATGAGTGTTAGTTAAAAAAAGGAACTGAAAAGATATTAACTTACTCTAAGGTGCTGGTTGTTGTATTACCTCGTGCTGTAGCAACAATTCTGTGACAGCTCTTACAAATGACCTGGTTTTGTTTGGTGTCTGTGACTTTGAAACCAAGATATTCCCAGATTACTGACGTGCTGTTTTTCTTTAATATGAATTTGTCTGTTAATGCTTTTGAAGTGGCAGACGCCATCATCCCACTCATTCGCGCTTTCCTGTTTGTTTGTTTTATCGTGGGCTTTCCGCTTAGTTCAAATTTAAATGGGAAGAACAAAAATCTGCTCACTCATTTGGATAGTAAGACTATCACACACAGACGGCAGTCACGCATTTTCTCTGGGTGGGGAAATTATATAATACATATATATTCCATATTGCACCCTCTTGCGATTAGCTGATCAAATTTGTGATTCGATTTAAATTAATCGCACAGTCTATTCATAATGGTCTCAAAAAATCTTGATTAAACCTGCAGACCAATTGCCCATTAATGAATCAGTGTCTATGCATAAAATGTTTTCCAATTTTAGGTAAAAAAAAAAAAAAGACAGTTTGTCTCACCTGCTCATAAGCCATGAACTTGATTGCAGTTTCTGGGGCGATTTTTATAACGTTGACTCCGTTACCCCTCCACAGAGAGGCCACGCCCCCTTCTTTAATCATCTGCTTGAACCCGTTCACCAGACTGATTTTGTTGGTTTTTGAGGAATGAACCTGTAAGTACAGATTTACTCACTCGTAATGACGTTCAAGAATATATGAAGTAACTGAAATTCATTATATTGTATTATTTATCAGCCACTTTCCACTTTCAGTGTAGTATAAAATCATTAAATCCATTTCCACACAAAATATTTTTCTCAATTAACAAACATTTTTATAGAAATAAATATTGTGTGAAAATATTTGTGATTTTGTGTTCTAGAAAACCTTGTACCTGCATGAAGACTTTCATTCTGTCAAGGGGGGCGGTGCCTGTTCGAGAGACTGCCCCTGCCACACCACCAGCAGCAAGCTGTTTCCACCACATGCCGGTGGTCTTCTCCTCCTCGGTGAACTCATCTGGTATAGTCAGACTGTCACCTATGTCCAACACCTAACCCACAACAAAGGTGAAGTTAGTTCAGAGCCAACTACAGTATACTAAATGTCAGACTATAAGGCTCGTGTTTGAACTCTGTGCTACAAAAAGCTTCTTTGTTTTAGGTTTGGATAAAAATAATAAAACAGTACCCTGATAATGTTTTCTTACTGTAATTATGCAAATAATATGATAAAGAACAAACACCAGGCATGCAGTGTTACAGTGTTTTTGTGAAAGTTAGGTTTTGATATACTGTAGGTTTTTAATATAAGTGACATATATAAAACTGGCCGTTTTAAGTATATATAGTCAACATTTAAAGTGGATCAAAAACCTTTCATAAAAGTGGTCCTTAAACTAGTGAATAGTACCCATTCTTGTCTTAGGACGATTTTAACTAAAAACACATTATCCAAGTTTGTACTCAATTGCAACCTTGCTCCTAATCCAAGTGTAATCTAAAGTCATCATTGGCATTATCTTATGTAACATACAGTATCTGGACTGCATCAGGGACTAAAACAAGCAATCCTAATTTATTACTAATGGGAAAGTAATGACATTATTTTGCTCACGTCATTCTAAACCTTTAACACCTTCTTTTTTTTCTGCAGGAGAAATAAAATATATTATTTAATGTATAGATTATTGTTAAAAGCGTCAGTTTCCATTGACATTCATATTTGTCTATGAAATAGAGATCAGTGGAGCACAAAACAATGTTCAAATTATCCTCATTTGTGTTTGACAGGTTTGGAACATCATGAAAGTAAGTAAATGTAAAAGTAAACCAAATATTTACTAAACAATTTTACAATTGTTGGAAAACTGAGGGATAAGTGATCCAAAATATTTTATTCTGCTATCATTAACTTACTCTTCACTAGTCACAATCCTGTTTGAGTTGAACACAAAGGAAGATATTTTGAAAAATGTTGGAAATGGGTTATCATTGACTTCTGTTGTGTTTGTTTTTCCTACAATGGATGTTAATGGCTGCCGGTTTCCAACATTTTTCAAATACCTTCAACTGTGTTCAACAAAAAAGAAACTGGTAGGTTTGCAACTACTTTAGTGACTATTTTTTTCTTTTTTTGAGTGAACTGTCCCTTTATGTACTCTCAGTATCTTAGTATAACCTTTATATATATATATATATATATATATATATATATATATATATATATATATATATATATATATATATATATATATATATATATATATATATATATAAGTTTATTATGCCATTTTGAATTTAATAAGGCTTTTAAAAAATCTCAACAACAAAGAGAATTTCTATAACCTGCCAATTTCTTATTATACATTTTTTTTATCTTTAAATCTTAAGATAGAGGCTAGAGCTTATTGGGCCAAAGCTGCGTTGGCCTCAATGAAATAATGCAGATCAGTTGACCTACCATATCTATATCCATCACATACACAGCCTCTTCGTCCTCAAAATCAATGATGAACCACTCTCCCCTGTGCTCCTGCAGTAAAGCCATGCTGACCGTCTGCTGCCAGCTCGTCTGATGCCACCGTTAGATCCTGACAACCGCAACCAAGACCTATTGCTCCTGCTCTCGTCGCAATGATACTATAACAATTCACTCCATCACTGCCCAACCTCAGCGCACTTCCATCAGTGCAGCAGTCAGATGACGAGCACATCCAGGGCTAATCCCTGTACAGGACAGTCTTAAATTAACCTTGCTGCAATTGGCTGTGACGACTAACCCTGACAGCTCAAAAATCACAAAATCGGTGAGTGGTTTTTGGCCCCAATTCTTCAGTTAAGCCAAAAGGACTTAAGATCAGATGAGCCCAAAATTTTCTATAATTTTAACCTTCTACTTATTTCATACACTCAATCATAGTGTTTATAATTAGCTTTATTTTAAAAACTATGTAATTATATGATATATCACCTTATTTGTATAGCTAAAGTGTGTAAGGGGGTAGTTCACCAAAGCATTCGAATTTACTCAGCATGTACTTTCTTTAAAGAGTTTTAAATTAGAGTTTCTTTCTTCTGTTGAACACAAAACAAAGTATTATTGATAATGTTGGAAAATGGTAGCATATTAAATTATTTTGGGGGAAGAAAAAAAACTGAAAGTTAATGAATTCAAATTTTTTTCAAAATATCTATTTTTGTATTTCATGGCAGAAAAAAAAATCTAATTTTATTTGGGACAAGTGGAAAATGTTATTAGATGATGACACAATTTTCTTTTGGGGGTGAACTTTCTAGTTGTCTTGCACTTTGAACAGTGTTCGTGTTAACATTTGACACTTAATCAGTTAAGAGACTTCTTATCCTTCCTGCTCTCAGCACTTTTCTAGTCATTCCCCAATCCTGCCCACTGACAGGAGGATATAAATGGCTGGCCAAGCTGATTACTGGACTACCTAACCATGCGCTAGCCAACAATGTGACTAGACAACTGAATGGAGGATTCATTGACCAATGACATGACCATAATATTGCATCTTGTGTTTATAACTGATATACAATTCAGATTTGATTGATCATGGATGTACAGTATGTTATATGTAATATCTCTGGTGTGGAACTTACAGTTGATTTTTTCCAGTAGCGTATGATCTGCTGAAGATCTTCTGCAGGGTTAAAGAGGAAATGCTCCCTCCATTCATTCCAGTCCAGAGTCATGGTTCCATCCACATCAATGCTGGAGGATAAAGGGTCAAAGGTCAAATCAGAACAATTTCCTGTGTGATCAATCTATACTTGAGTTTAATCTGTGAATCTGCAGAAAAGGTTAATGATATTTCTTCCTTGACCTCATATACAGTACACCGTTAAAGACATAAATATTAGCCCTTCTCTAAAACTTTAAAGTCCATGTCAAATCTAAATCTTGAATTTGCTAGCTCACATTGTTATTTGTAAAGTTCATAATTAATCTGTGCCAGTTAATCCTCAGGGAAAAATAAGTTTGTTCTGGTTATTTTTAATCGAAGTTTCTTTGGAGCAGGGAGGTCAAAACCCGGGGGCTTCCATACCAACTGCACAGTATATCAATAACCTTAGCCATGCCTCTCTTACCATTACTTTGCTATGAGAGAATGATGTGCCAAAAGAAAGTCCCACGCCATAATCAATATTCCATTTGAGTTGAAAGTACATCAACATACTGAAATAAAAGTCTCAGCAACTTCCGGTTGAATTGAAGTAATGTTTAAAAAGGCATTTTTCAAAGTATTTCCTATTGTTTTTTCTTACTGGGAAAAGACTTGTTTAGTTTATTTGGCTGGAATAAAAAATGTTAAAAGGTCAATATTATTCGATTAGCCTCAATATTATTATTAATATTAGCGCTAGGGCTGCACTTTATATAATTTCAGCATTGATAGCGCAATTTGGGCATCTGCGGTAGTCACATCGCAAGATATGCAATGTTGAGTCTGAATTATAGTTGACCAAGAGCCACAGAAAACCTGTGATTTGTAGAGTTTGCATGTCTTTTTAAGGCCTGTGACTGAGCATTTCAAGTAAGTTTAGAACATTTGAGCTTGAGTTTGGACTGGAAGTGTAACAAAGATTTATTTTATATAATTATTTAGACAGAATTGATGCGATTTATGCAACAAAAAAGCTCATTTTTAAAATTTTTGTCTTGTTTTTAGTCTAAATATCTACATTTTAAAGTGAAAACAAGATTATTTTACTTGCTACATTGGCAGATGATTTAGCTTGTTTTAAAGGGAAAAAAATATTAATTTCTTCTTCAGGTGAAAACTAAATATTTTTACTTGATCAAAGCATTTTTAGATATTTGGACTCGAAACTACAAACCATCTTTTCATATCGCAATTTTTCTCGCAGAACAATAAAATTCAGCAAAATCAGATTTTTTTTTTTTAAGTGTTGGCAAACAGTTCTGTTCTGTTTAACTGCACTTTAAGTGTGGGTAAACTAGTCAACTTTAGTATGGGTAAACTAGTCAAATGTTACAATTATTTTATTTTTTTCCAAATTTAAAATAAAAATAATGCCAGTTAAAACACTTTTATATCAAAATATGTCAGAATAATAACTTTTAATTAGCTGTGTCTGAAAGTTAGGGTTATTCCGGTAAATACTGCTTTCTTAACTCATCTGAAATGAAAACATTGGTATCGTGTTCTCTTGAAATTAAAGAGAGCTGGTGAAAATCTGAACAGAAGCATACAGTGTATTTCACTCATGATTGTTTTGCAAGTACATAAATATTTAAACTCTTGATCACAATCCCTACAATAAAGCATGAAAAAAATGTTATAATCTGTAATATTTATTAATTAAAGAGAGAGTTGTTAACTGTTTTGCTATAAATTAAGTATTGGATGACTTCTGATTTTGCTGTGATTAGGCCTTTAATATCAATTGTCACTCTTGGTGTCAGAAGGCCCAGAGTACCTGTGGAGGATCTTCTCAGCGTCTTTATCTGACAAGTTAATCCCGAGGTCTTTTAGTGACTGTTGAATCTCTTTGGCATCGACGCGACCTGCGTACAGAATTAATTAAAGTTCATTTAGTAATAAACAAAAGCAGAAAGTTACTTAACGACTGCCTCAATTGGACTCTCTAGGGTGTGTGCATATTTGCCAGGTTTGCTCTTATTAACACAAACTCTGGTGGGATTGCTGTTAGTGCAGTTCATTTAAAGAAGAGGAATCGCAGACATCTGAACCTCGATGTGCACCAAACAAATTAGATGTAATAGAACTGAATAAAAACACAACATCTCAACCACGGGTGTCCAAACTCGGTCTGGGAGGGCTGGTGTCCTGGAGAGTTTAGCTTAAACCCAAATCAAACACACCTTAACCAGCTAATCAATCTATTACTAGTTATACTAAAACCTTTCTGGTAGGTGTGTTGAGGCAAGTTGAAGCTAAACTCAGTAGGACACCAGCCCTCCAGGAGCGAGTTTGGACATCCCTTATCTATACAAACTGGCATTAGTCATGGCGTCGCAATTAGTTACTGTGTTCATACTATGTCAATTGTGTCTCAAATGCGCAGCATTAATGTGCAACATTACAGAAATTCATAGTGTTGTTTCAATAATTCTTTAGTGCATATTGGGAATTGTGGAATGAATGATCCTATGAATGGTTAAAAGGAGGAGAGCAAAACACACACTGTACTTTAATCTTACCATCTTCATTTTTGTCCAGACTCTTAAAGGTCAGCCTGAGTTTTTTCTCATGTTCTTTCAGATACTTTGAAAACTCCTCAAAGTCCAGCCCTTCATCCTTATCGGTATCCCCTGAGGTAACAATTTTCTGAAAAAAAAAAAACAACAACACTGGAACATGAGCTTTCTGGTAAATGTGCCTTGCTGAGTACGAGTACAAGAAAACCCCTAAATATATTTACAACTATGGAGAACATTAATAGGCCACTTGAAAATATTATTGGTTATTTGAATTATAGTTTGAATAAAATTTTGCTTTATTTGTAAAATGCTGATGACAATTATTCCAAATGTAAAATATCAATATCATAATTTTTTGTTTGTGTATATATATATATATATATATATATATATATATATATATATATATATATATATATATATATATATATATATATATAAAGGGTTATACAGTGGCACAGTAGGTAGTGCTGTCGCCTCACAGCAAAATCGTCGCTGGTTTGAGCCTCGGCTGGTTCAGTTGGCGCTTCTGTGTGGTGAAGCCACAGGTGAATTGGGTAAGCTAAATTGTCCATAGTGTATAAAAACAGTGTGTATATGGATGTTTCCCAGAGATGGGTTGGAAGGGCATCCGCTGCGTAAAACATGTGCTGGATAAGTTGGTTGTTCATTCCGCTGTGACGACCCCAGATTATTAAAGGACTAAGCCGAAAAAATGAAAATGAATGAATATATATGATATTTGAAAGAAATGTTATGAGACCCTTATATAATAAAACATATAGAACATTTAGTTCAAACCCACACCTGCTGTAATAAATCCAAAATCCAGAGAAACTGGGATCTCTTAACTGGTCTATTAATCCTTTCATAACTGTACATTTCTGCACATTGTGATGTTCTAATGAAGACCCTATAATTATTTTATATAACAACAAATTTTTAGCCCATCACTAATTCTGTTTATTTACTTGAGTAAATGTGTGTAAATCTATATGTACAATGCAGTTTGTACAGTAATATTTTCTGTGTTTTACTAGATATATGACAAACTTGCTTTATTTACCAAATAAAGTGAATCTGATTGGATTTGCATTTTAAACATTACATACCAGTTAAAAAGATATAATTTTTTATTTCATATATTAAGGTTTTAGTTATGATACTACCAAAAATTTTACCAAAATTTTTACCAAAATTCTCTGCAGAAATAGCAAAAAACCTCTGCAGATTCCGTCTGACCCTACCTATAATTGGTCAAACTAATACTGACTTGAGCTAAAAAAAAAAAAATACCCACTACATTCTCGCCATATGTAAAACTGCTGAATTAAACCTGTTTCACAATGAAGAATTTCACTTTATCACTGATCTGAACTAATAGCTGAACCTAAATTATCTCCAAAGTTTAGTCTCCATAATTGATTTAGCTGTTTCCCAATGATATCTGTGATGATACTTTAACAATCTGTATTGAATGAACAGATATTTAGAAAAATGTTGACCCGCAAAAAGTCTTTCATAATGATTCCTTAACTTTTTTCTAAAGTTTGCTCATCCATTGTTGTCATCTGGGTACAGAAATAATTGTCGATCATGGGCTGTTGAATTATTCGAAAAATAAGGTGCTAAATAAAACAGAGATTTTATATTTCCAGACATTTCTCAGGTTTTTGTCCTCAAACAGCTCCTGCGTATGTGTGGTATATTGAGTTTATTATGCATCTCTTATTAAACCTTCAGTTTTGAGTTGATCTGTAGTAGGCTGTGAAATACCTGAAATCATTCAGCATAGTAGTGAGTGACATGGAACTGTAATGCAGTCAAGATTGTCTGGAACAACTTCAGCTAGACCTGTGTGTTTATCTGACAGTAATTGCACACCTTAGAGAATGTTCATCAGCCAATCAGGATCAAGCATTTAATAGCCCAATCCACAGCACACAACTCAGTAAACTGAAAAGCATATACAGTAGGCCTTGTAAAACAAATACGCAACAAAAGATCACACAAAACAACACAACTATTATAAATCTTCTGTCTGTGAGCTGATGAGTTTGCTGGCACATTCTGTGTTTGAACTTTGAGTCTCATTTGCTTAAGCGAGGTGGGGTTATCAGCTGTTTTAGTGAATGTCAGTGGATAAAGGAATGTGGGTTTACACAAGCAGCTACAGGAGTGTCTATACCCACCCTTCTGCATTATGTGCACTTCCTGAAACCAAATGGGAAAACTCTATTTTAACAGCCATTTTAAAGACAAATGATCTGTCATTTTCTGTATTCAAAGTTTGGTGACTTTGATATGTGCAGGAGTCACCAAGTGATCGAGGTCAAGTTGGTTTCATTTTGGCACATTCATTCATTTTAATGCTCCCTATATTGTTTAACACTTTGAATATTCTGTCTGAAAAAGCATGCATTCAAAATAACATCAGCACTATTTAATTGACTGTGAACAAGATACTTTAGCAGTCGTTGGTTGTTAATATAATTCCCTTATTTATACTTTGCAAATAACACTTTTTTGAAATTGTATTAAGAAGAAAGTCTGAATATGTGAATATAAAATCCTCAATCACTAAGTGTGGGTATGTTAGGAAAATTCTAAGGGTCCATGCAATTTAGGGCCCCCAAATGAGCTGTCTTTTTTTTTTTTTACTATTAACAGTACTTGCAGGGGCCCTAAGCTGACATTTTCCTTCATAGGGACCAAAATTGCTAGCAGCGCGCCTGAATATGTGCATTATGACTATAATAAATAGTACAATAGATGAAGAAGTGGAGGAGAAGAAGGATGTGGGCTGGCACTCATGCATCATTTACCATCATTTCTTTGAACTACTGCTTATAGTATTTAAATGGTTCAGCTCATAGCCATTTTTTATATCTCTGCGTTTTTACATCAAACAAAATGGTGGATTTTCCTTAGTAGAACAGTAAATTCCCCTTGCATGCGAACAATATGAGAGCCTGTCAGCGTAGTTTATTGGTTACTGCGGTTTTTACAGAACCCAATGCGCTGATGTAAAACTAAAGCGCGTCAACAACAGCAGAAATGCAGTGAACTGGAAATACCTGCGCTTCTCCTTTACCCATAGAGAAGCCCATGGCAGCCAGGCCCGTCTTGAGCTCGGAAACATCCACTTTTCCATCTTTATTCACATCCAACTTCTCAAACAACTCCGCGAAACTTTTCGTGTTGTCCTCCTCCTCCAAACAATGCGACTCGGTGAAGACGAATTTCCTTATAAGCTGATGCATGATGAATGTATATGCTGTATTTATGTATTTTTTTTTACCGATCCAAAGGTTGCAGTGGAGCTGCGGAAGAGCACAGATGTTTATACTGGGACGGAAGAAAAAAAAACAGACCCTCCCTAGACTATCAATGTTAGACGATCGTTGTCATGGTTTTATTGCCACCGTCTATTGAAACTCAGCACTGTTTCGGGTTTAATGTGTAGACCTGCAGGCTAGGCTGGGCTGAGCTGAGCTGAGCTGAAGGAGGGACTACATTACTTGCTTATTTTTCTGCGGTGCCTCCTCATTTCAGACGGACACACCCTAAAATGTACACAAGCCATTTTTAATACTACGTGAGTGACTCACTGGCGAGAGTTACTCAACTCAACAGAGGATTCATTTACTAATTTAGTTCCTTCCTTTATCATGGTATAATTTGAGCTCTTATAATATAATATAATATAATATAATATAATATAATCCTTAAGATAAATTATTAGTAAATCTGTATCTTATATAAAATCTTAAGAAAGATTTTATTATATTTTATTATATTATATATTCATATGACTCACAACCTAGATAGACAGACAGAAAGACTGACACAGATAGATTTGCTAATGATATATATTCTTCTTATTTATTTATTTATTATTATTAATAGTATTTTTTGCTTGCATGTTACAATATGCTAAATGCACCGAACAGCTGTGTTCTATAAATGATCAAACTTTTAGTTTAATTTTGCACTAAGCCTGTTGTAGAAACAAATCTTTCTAAATAAAGCAAGTTACTAAGATGTTCAGTTATGAATCGTGTAAATATAGCTTCAAATGACTGCACAGCAATTATTATGACTGTAGTACAACAGCCTGTTACTTTCCAGTCATTTAAATTTCCTCTAGTTTAGTTCATCTAATTGTGTTTGTTTTACTCAAATTTTTATTTATTTATTGTTTTTAACACATTTTGAGTCATTAACTTATTCACATTTAATTTTTTTATTTTTCACTTAAATATTTTATTAGTCATTGTAGCTACTAGAATATTTGATTTGGTTGTGTCATTATAACAATGTGTGCTTGTATATATCCCAATAAAATGTTTGTATGTTTACAAATATTAATTTTCAATTTAATAAATATTTTATAATCAAAATGTGTATTTTTTTAATTAATATACTTTTTGTTGTTTTTAATTATTTAATTTTATATGTATTATTTTATTTCTTTGGTTTATACAATGATTTTTTTATGAATGTTCTCACTATTCTTGAATGTCTCTACTATACACCTCATCTGAACACTAGAGGTGCTCAAGTATGTACTTCAGATCTGTGGTAAAGTGCTTGACAACTTTACGACAACAGTGCAGTGTTCCTTTACGACACACGTTTTCGTTTTACGGAAGAGTGTAGCATGTTAACAGATGTTGACAATATTATCTGCGAGTTCATGAAGTAAATAACTGCGCGTTTTAGTCTTTATCTGGTACGAGAGCTGGAGTGTTTGTAGATTGTGTCTAAGATGGGAAAGCCAAAAAAGAAGAGTAAGTATTATTTGCTCATTTTTACATGGCGTATTCTGTTACGTTGCTGCTGAAAGCATGTTGTAAAAACTAATCTTCCATCATATATTAACAGCTTTGTGTTTGATTTAATATTTAGGAGAATGTTACGTTATATAGTTACGATAAAAACTTGCTGATCTGGCAATGTTCGTCAATATTAAAATAACAGCTTGACAAAAAGTTGGAGGGATTAAATGCACATGTTTGCTTACTAAATGTACTTTTCTTATGGGTATGTTTTGTTGACGAGATATAAATGCAGAACTACCATGATTTTATTATAGTAAAACTGTAGTAAGCAGCCATGTGGTTATTGTGTAGCAAAGCCTTATTGGTTATTGTGATTTTTGGTTAGCCTACCATGAGATTACCAAACCTCAGTAGCCATGATTTTTTGGTTTATTTGCAGTAAAATTCTGGTTAGTTATCATCAACGTATAATAATGCTTGCTATTTTACTCCAAATAAGCAAGCCAAATGTCTGCCAGGGTGTTTATTTAAAGCATTTGGGGTTAAACCTTAAGTTAATGTTAATAGTTAAAGCTGTCAGTCTATTTAAAGTAATTCTATACTTTAATTCCTTACCATTGTGACAGGTATCTTGACACTTTATTGAGGTAAAGGTGGTTTTATATTCACACATTAGTTCATTTTTGAAGAGTTTCAACTTGTGACATGGCCCCTATATTCTTTACCATGCTACTTTGAATATTCGGTCTGAAATCGCATGTAAGAATGACTTCAAAACAACATGAGCACTATCTAACTGACTGTGAATAATGTTGTTTTTTGATTGTCATTGACTGTTAATATGACTTCCCTATTTAGAAATGGCAAATAATACATTTTTGAAATTATATTATTAGGTAGAAAGTTTAAATGTGCAAATATAAATCCAACTTAACATCAATTGATGCTTTCTTCTGAGGCCGAGAAGAGCACAGAGTTTGGCGTTTTTCCCAATATGACTTGTCTGTTTAATTTAATGGTTTGTTTTATACGTCAGGTGACTTGAGTCGTGCAGAACTGATGATGATGACAATAGCAGACGTCATCAAGCAGTTGGTTGAGGCCCATGAAGAAGGAAAAGATATTAATCTGAACAAGTCAGTGCATTTTAAAAGATGTACTAATTCTATTGCTGTGTCACAGTTTGCATACTTGTAATACGTCCTAAAAGTATGTACTTTTCGTGTGAAGAAAGTATATATTTTTGAGTGTGCAACAGAAGAGTATGCAAGTTTTCCTACTTCTATACTAATAGTATGCAAATTGGGATGCAGCTTATGTTTCAAAAGCACAATTGTAAGTGTTTATTTAAAGACATTGACAGATAAAATCATGTCTTTATAGGGTCAAGACAAAGACCTCAGCTAAATACGGCCTCTCCGCACAGCCACGGCTGGTGGACATCATTGCTGCAGTACCACCACACTATCGCAGAGCATTGGTACCAAAGTTGAAAGCCAAACCCATCCGCACAGCCAGTGGGGTAATGATGGCTTGATGTTTATTTTTTGGGAGGTGATGTAAATTGTAATGTAGAAATAATTTTAGTATTTTTATATGTTTTAAAATATTTCTTTTGTAGATTGCAGTCGTTGCTGTGATGTGCAAGCCTCATCGCTGTCCTCACATTAGTTTCACTGGCAACATCTGTGTGTGAGTATGTCTAGCATAACATGTCTTATGTCAGACTTCCCACATTTCTTGTAAGACTTTCATTTCAGACATATTGATTCAAGCACTGGAAAGTACTTAAAAACAAGCTTGGGTCCTTGAAAGTGCTTGAATTAAATTTGAAATTAAATTTATGGTTTTATTTTTAACAATTGCACTCAATTTCAAGTTGGCTTTTAGTACTTAATTGTATCTGCACTAGTTGTGTACACTTTTTATGTTTTTCTTGTTCTCTTATTGCTTTTGTTTTATTGTACAGTGTCCTTAAGTTGCCGCAAAGGCAAAAAAATGTATTATTATTATTATTTTTATTATTATCGTCAAAGACAAAAAGAATAAAATATAAAATTCCTAAATGAAAAACTGACTTTTTAAATCAGTCAGTTTCTGAAAATTCCTCATTTTTAATGTAAATATTAAGTGTAATGTTAAGTACAAGAAGGACGTTTATGCCACTACATTCGCTGGGTATGAATAATAAAGGTGCTTGATTTAAACTTAATGGTGCTTTAAAAATTCATGAAAAGTCTTTGAATTTGCTGTTCATGAAAGAGTAAAAACCCTGCCTTGTGTTACTTTTATGTAACTGTTTAAAAGATTGTCTTTTTAAAATGAATTATTATTTGGAATTAACACCAGGAGAAAAATACATTATCAGTTTTAAGCAATAAACATTAAATAATTAAAAAATGTGTCCTGGTTTTGCCAAACTGTCTGTGATTATAGTGAATTTTGTAGAATTCCAATATATATATATATATATATATATATATATATATATCTTTCTCAGCGCTAAGGATTTTCTTGTTTTAAAAAAATGGGAGGAAAAGCAATATACTATGGAAGAATTTTTATGAGTGATTTATCCATGTAATACTAAACACAGACACATTCTAAATTAGCATGCAGCTATTTTAATGCAAAATACGCAGACTCCGTATAATAATGCACATCTACTTTCTTTCTCAGATGTTTATATTCACTAAAGGCACCATCACCTGTTGCTTGTACAAACCAAGATGCTTATATTGGCAAAATGTGTTTACATATTTAATGTAAAACAAATGTTAAAAGCATACTTTTTGTTACATTGAAGACCACACACAAAACCTAAATTCCGGGACATAAATTCTTGCACATGAAAAAAAAATGTGCTTAAAGTGTTTAAAATAATGATACATTGATTTTGACAATGTAGCTGTGCTTTAATTAGGTCGGTGAGTGATCCATCAACTTTCCCAAGTGTGTTGCCCAATACCCTTACTTAGTAATTATTGTGGAGCCCTACTACCAGATCAGTATATTAGAAGAATTTTTGAAGGATCACCTGCCACTAAAGACTGGAACAAATTATTTGCATAAAAAGTACATTTAATCTGGAAACCGTTAATACAAAAGAGTTATTTTACTGTAAAGCGGTATATTTCAGTTTTTCAAAAACAGTAAAACAAAAATCCGACCCTGCACTTTTAAACAGTAGTGAACATGTATTCATTCAGCCCATTATTGTGTACAAAATGACTAAAAAATGAGCAAACCCACAACACAAGCTGTTCATCCCAAATATCTGCATCATGAATATTTTACAGTACATATTGAAAATGATGTCCTGCATCTGGTTCAAGCAATAAACATTGTGTTCCAGTTGTAGTGGAGACATTTATGACCTTAATGATAAACCTGGCCTCACTTTTGATGTTTGTTGTTTTTGTTTTCATGTCCTCAAACAGCTATTGCCCTGGGGGTCCAGACTCCGATTTTGAATATTCCACACAGTCATACACAGGATACGAGGTAATTGTCCTTCTGTTTCCCAAAGCAATACTATCACAGATGTTTTTATGAGTTTTGCACTGGTGTCATTCAGTACGCTTGGTTTTGATCATCTATTCACTCAGCCCACATCAATGAGAGCCATCCGTGCACGATACGATCCCTACCTCCAGACTAGGCACCGAGTAGAACAGGTGAGTCATCTTCACAGTTCATAATTCATCAGCGCTGTACAGTGAAAATCGTAAGGCATCATAAAAGCTACTTAATGGTTTTGGTTTTTACGGTGTAGATCTGCAGGCTTGATGATCCTCTCAGCTTTTCCGCTCATTTAAATGCTGTTAATGTCATTGCGCTGCTGTGTTTGCACATCTAGCTCAAGCAGCTGGGACACAGCGTGGATAAAGTGGAGTTCATTGTGATGGGAGGCACATTCATGGCTCTGCCGGAGGAGTACAGGGACTATTTCATCCGTAACCTCCATGACGCGCTGTCAGGACACACGTCTAACAACGTCACCGAAGCTGTCAGGTACCAGCAGCCCATGATAAACTTTGTTTGAGTGATAGAATCAGGCCAGTCTTAATTATGAGCTTCGTGGCACAAATTCTCAGGGCCAGGAGAGGGCAACGAACAGTCAATCACCAGCTGGTGTTGTGCCTTGGGAAAGACAACACTGTTTGAGACATGATGCACTTGTCTTCGTGAGAATTAGTTGGGGTGATTTCTGTTATCTATCATCAAATGTTTGTTTGGAGTCAACTTTAAAGGGCTGTGTATGGAATTCAGTAACCCTTGTTATTGTGATGCCGAGAGCTATTAGGTGAGCTGCGGCCATAAAACTTATAGCTTGTTCTTAAAATCGTGCACACATATAAAAGATGGATCATGTTTTGATTCTCCAACACACTAATGGCAAAGAGCTAATGCCTGTCCCATTCTCAAAATAAGAGTCCCATATACATAGTAAATATAATTAGCTGTGTTAAACATAAAATAAGATTTAAATATTATAATTGTTTTAATGTCGCTAGGAAATCTTGTGGCCAATCAAACTCTGCCTGGAACATGCATATTAATGATGCCATGAGTAACATCAGTTGTTGTTTTTTTCTCAGATTAGCTTGTTTTTACGCAACGATTTTACACTAATCATATTTGCATGAGAATACGGTGGTGTTTGCAGCTCAATGTATGCCATTTCCACATACTAAACTCTTGTTTAGCTTTGTCTTTGTATATCCAGTTTTTTCTTTCTATAGCACCTTTAAAAAAAACTTTTAATCTTAGCATTGTGGATGTTTGCATTCACTCCTAATTTCACTGGCCTCATGTAGTCAAACGTCATATTCTTTCAAGAGTTCACACTTAGCTGATGATTGATAATAAAGTGTAGTTAGTATGCTGTCCTGGGAGAGGGCCCTGAGCTCAGAATATCCTCGAACCCCGGGCTCCCCTCTCGTCCTTCAAACGAAAGGAAGTGTAAGCTCAGGTGGGTCTCGAACTCCCTTGCTTGTGAACGTGCTGAGATATAGCTGGCTAAGAGTTTGTCTTAGAATGCTACTTTTGAATAGTCAATTTACTTAAGGTGTATGTCTTTGAACGGTGGGAGAAAACCAGGAAACCCGTGGAAAAGAGCATGTGGAGAACATGCAAACTCCAAACAGAAACCGGCCCGGTGAAGATGCCGAACCATTGGCGTTCTTGCTGTAAGGCAACAGTGCTAACCACTGGTAAATAAAATAAAAATAAGTATATAAATAAACCACACTTAAATTTTCCCAGCAAAAGCAAGTGCCAGTATTTTAATTATATATATATATATATATATATATATATATATATATATATATATATATATATATATATATATATATATACATATATACATATATACATATTTACAGGCTTCAAGTTATTATAATAAACTTTTGTTACGACTTCTCGATGTTAATCTAGGGACTGAAGTATGTAACATTTTTATTGTGACCATTCTGTGTGATTCGAAACTGTGCATCAACCAATAATACTGCAAAAAAAGAATAATTTATAATTTGTAAAAAAAAAAAATAATAATAATTTATTAAACAAAACCAAAGATAAACAGAAAATAGTAATAATAAAGATGAATAATATAGATAACAACAAATAACATTTATTCATTCATTCATTTATTCATTTTCTATTTAGTCTCTTTATTAATCTGGTGTCGCCACAGCAGAATGAACCGCCTACTTATCCAGCATATGTTTTTCGCAGCGGATGCCCTTCCAGCTGCAACCCATCACTGTGAAACATCCATACACACTCATTCACACACAAACACTACGGACAATTTAGCTTACTTACATAGCATGTCTTTAGACTTGTGGGGGAAACCAGAGCAACATGCAAACTTTTTACAGAAATGCTAACTGACCCAGCCGAGACTTGAACAAGTGTCCTTTTTGCTGTGAGGCAATTTTTCTACCCACTGAGCCACCGTGACACCCACAACAACTGACATCAAAAGGTAAATTATATACAATTTTTACACCGACAAAAATAATCCAAAAACTGTAAACCCCACAGGAAGAGGACAAAAGTGGTGCTGAAAAAAAAGAAAATAACAAAATCAAAAATCAAACTAACTCAGTAGAACTCTTTGCCCTAGCTGAAAACAATAATCGAAAGCAAGTCTTCCGCATTTGCGCGCCCTAACTTAGCTACTCTAATCTAACCAAGTAGAAAAATACAAAGACAGCGCTCACTCCTAAACCTGGTGTGTCTTTACACAGGTTCACTAAGTGTTGTATCTCAAATCTCAAATTGAAAAAACAACAAAAGAAATATAGAGGGAAAAAGAGAGAGAGACACGCAGAAGTTTATGTATAACATATTTAGATTTGAGAAGAAAAAAAATAGAAGAATGCAGTTACAGACAGTCGTTTAGTAGTGTTACTAAATTATTAACGAGCATTTGATGAAAGCAGATAGCACTGTTGAAATGGGGTGATTCATTTATTTATCAGGGGTCGCCACAGCGGAATGAACCAACTTATGCAGCTTATGTTTTATAGCTTATGCCCTTCCAGCTGCAACCCAGTACTGGGAAACATCCATACACACTCATTCACACACACTCATACACTACGGCCATATTTAGTTTATTCAATTCACCTATACTGCATGTGTTTTGACCAAGTGTGCCGCAAGCCTGCGTTTGAGTGAAGGATTTAGGCCGTTAGATCGCCCCCTGGGGGCTGGCTGCAGTACAAGTCATAAAGCCCACCTCCTCCGTGTTAATGAAGGAGATTTGAACCCAAATAAAAAAAAATTATTACACTTGCAATAAAATGGTTCTGGTCGATTAAGGCACTGGTTATTGTGCTGAAATAGGTGCAGATCTTCATTTTTGTAAACAGTTTGTTTTTAGCAGTAATTTAATGCTGGGCGTGTCATCGTGATTGACAGCGGTGATTGACAGTTTCTCAAAGCAGCGCGTCTGAGCTTCGGTAGGAGACTGAAGTGTTATTATTCGATTTCTGTGTTATTTTACCATGACAAAATGAGTTAAGCAGTAAACTATAGTTTCTGACATACATGATCCTGGTGGAACACTGTTTATTCGCTAAGGTCAGGGCTTTTTTCGGGCTTTATTTTCTGATACGCGCCTAACCACCCAGATAGCAAAATACACTCGAGCCAGTTCCGGCTAGATTCTCGCCTGCCGGAGACTTACCCCTTAGACTGACTACCTTTGCTGGACCTACTCCGGATGCCTGGACTCACTGCCCGATTCCAGCCCGAGTCAATCGAGCCAGATGCGGCGGCCGAGCGAGCCGGCGCTGCCGCATGCAAGCCGGAATCAGCCCGCGACGCCGTGAGTAGGTTATGCGCTGCAGCCCGGAGCTGACGCGAATGAATATATAAAACCCTCATATTTGTTAACGTTATTACATCCATTTGTGTTGATATGACAGCAAACGCATGCTGAGAAGTTCGGGGGGGGGGCGTGGTTGATTTTACATAAAGCTCGACTCCGCTCATTTTCGCGGCTCCTCCTCTGGCTCCATCAGACAGTCCTTCTGCGCATGTCAAGGCTCCAATTTCAGCAGTCTTTTGCGACAGTTTGTGCCCGTCAAGCAGGCGTTTTGCCCTCAAGGCGTTCAATGGGAAAAGGGGCTGTCGCGTCGTCCATATTTTTTACAGTCATTGGTTTTGACTTGTGGGGGAAACCGAAGCATCCAGAGGAATCACACACGAACACGTGGAGAACATGCAAACCTTCATTCAGAAATACCAACAGACCCAGCCGGGACTTGAACCAGCGACCAGGGGACAGTTGTAACCACTGAGCCACTGTGTTGCCCGAAATGGGATGATTCATATATAAAATTAATTTGGCTGAAATTTGAACTTGAACTAATGAGAAAAAAAAAGATGTTGAGTCCTCCTGACTTCCTTTTCTCATTCACCCCTCCCTCCCTTTAATCACTTTTTATGTTTTTATTCTCTCTGCTATCACATCTCAATAAAAAGAGCAAATTTCATAAATACCTGCTCACATTTGCTTCAGTAGTAATTATACATAAATGCACTTGTTTTCAAGCCATTAAACAACTGGTCTGAGATCAGCCGTTACGTGCAGGAATTAAAGTGCGGGAGTTAAATGGAGCAGTTAGAAGGGAATTGAGCAGCTGTGTTGTCTTATGTCCGTCTGAGGAAATTCACCACTTAATAAGCTCTGATCTGGAATCAGTGCTTTTTGTTGTTGGATCATTTAAGTCCATATTGGCAGAATTAACAAATACTGGTCTTGGATCAGTTACAGCACGGTGCCAACCCCCCCTGTTGGGCAGATGTAGCAGCATGTCAGTGTTTAGAAGAATAACTGGTGTTTTTGAGCAGTCTGAGCAGCTGCATTGGCTCTGTTTTCTGACTAGTCACAGAACAATGAGACAGAAGGTGGCATTTAAACTCTTTGCTTAAATGATCACGACAAGATAAAGTCAGTTATTAGCCACATCTCCTGATATCTCATTTAACAGTTAGGCTGACATTAACTCAACTAACCAAGCAAATAAATTATTTTTTTGCATTTAAATGAATAACTGAATTCTGTTTACACACCTTTTACATGTTCCAAACCTGTTTAAGTTTCTTTCTGCTAATAAACACTAAAGAAGTTATTTTTGAGAAATCTGGAAACCTGTAACCATTGACTTCCATAATATTTGTTTTCTCTACTATGGAATTCAATGGTTACAGGTTTTCAGCTTTCTTCAAAATATCTACTTTTTAAATATCTTACAGAACTTGAGGGTGAGTAAATGAGCAAAATAAACATTTTTAGTGAACTGTCCCTTTAAATATTTTTACACTAGCCTCTGTGACAATAGCCAAATGATTTTTAGAAAGGCATCAGTTTGGGCTAAGTGGTGACGCTATTGTGATGCTGTTGACCTCCAAAGTAAAATTATTTCCGTAAGGAAGGCCAATGTTTTGACGTAAAACTGATTGTAAGATTGTGATAGACTGCCACTGCAGGGCGCTGTTAGTTTATTCCTGAGGTTTTTTATTATATTTATTTTCTTGATAAGAGTGTGTATGTGTTTGTGTGAGTGTGTATATAGACAGGCGTCCACAGGATTGTCAGCACACCACAGCTTATCAGCGGGTTTGTTAAGATGACACGATTGCCATAATTGTTCCGGCAGCTAATCAGCCAGAGATGGGGGAGACAACAGTTCGATTTCAGGCACATTGCTTATCTCGGCGGAGGATGTGTGTGTGTGTGTGTGTGTGTGTGTGTCTGTGTGGGAGAAAAAAAATAAAGAGAAGAAGTAGAAATGAGAAACACTCCATTGGTTTCATAACTGCGTTGTCTGAAATCTGGAGAAAGAAACAAGAGCTGAGCGGACAGAAAGAGTTTTTGGGTTATTAAACGTCCATTAAATTTTCAGAACAATGTCAGGCGTGACAGGAAGCTAAAAACCACATAGTTCAGAATTAGTGTTAAATTTATGCAAGTATATTCAGTCGGCCAGATGACGCCAATTCAGTCGTGATATGGTTTCATTTCAACACCAGATACTTTAGAAAGGTTTTAGTTAAGTTTATCTGTTATTAATAATATGTATTCATTATTATATATAAGTAAGTATTCATTATTCAATATTATGTACATTTTGTAGATTGCTTCTATCATATATGGGAGTTTATGTATAATCATCAGTAACTGTAATGCATACGAAAAAGTTTCTTGTGTTTGCTAATTAACATTTAATTGATTTAAAAATACATTAAAAGAGAATTATTAAAAAATAAGGAAAAAAATGTATGACCATTTAAATGTATTATTATTGTGATCCATTATAAAATGTAATTTATTCATTTCAGCATTAATATTATTAATTTATAGCATACCTGAATTGTTTAGCAGTCGTTACTCTTTGGCGTCAAATGATTCTTCCGAAGTATAAGCTGATTTGTTCAAGTAATAATCAGTTGTGCTGCTAATTTATGATAGAACTGTGATACATTTATCGTGATTCAGAACTGGAATTTCAGCAATTATTTAAAATTTGAATTGTTGTGACCTCTTTTAATTCCATTAAAAGATGTCATTATTAATCAATGGGCCCTATCATGCACCCGGTGCAATAAGGCACAAGACGTGTATGGCATGATTTGTTGCTATTTTCAGACCAGTGCAGCATGCACTTGCGTTTTGCGCCAGGTTGTTTAAATAGCAAATCCATTTGCACCTCTTTGTGGACTCATGGGTGTGCTGGAAAAAAATTTCTACATAAATATAAAAACCACTGTCAATTTATTCATGGCAATTTGCATTTGTGTAATGTTAATTATAGTATTAATATTATTTATTATATGTATTTTTATATTTGTTTTAATAAAAACAAATTTAGATTTGTCTTCCTGTCAGGTTTTGGATATGTATACATCACTCAGTTTTTTGACCACACTCCGTTTTTATTGTTCATTTATTTGTTTGCTCAGAACTGAATTTAGAAATAGTTTTTAAATCTTTGCGCTTAACAAACTAAATTAAATATGTAGGTTATGGAGGTCTTCAGTGGAGTGCATGGAACACCGTTTCCTTATCCACAAAAATAATGGAGTAAAGTAGGAAGCAAAGAGGCCAAATGGTGAAGGCTCATTCTTTCTTCTTGTGCTGCAGATGCTCTGTTTTCTTGCTAGTTAAGCATTCAGTTTTTCCACTTTCAAAGTCCACAATGTAAATAGCAAATGCATAGCATAGCACAACGCAACTGACTCTTAAAGGGAATGTGAGATGAGACTCTGATTGGTTTAATGCATGTTATGCTCAAAACACACCCATAACTCATTAGGAGAATAAGCACAACCCTGTTAGACCATGCGCCGGGGCGCAAACCGTATTTTTCCCACCTTAAAATAGCAAACGTGGAATCTGATACGCCCTTAATGCTTTCGCACCATGCGCTTTAGACTTTGCGCTTAGATCATTAAAATAGAGCCCTATGTATTCTTAATTTGTCTGTTTTAGTTTTATAACACTTGCATTTGATAAAATGCATCAAATGTATAACATAGCATCAGAATTTCTAAGTTAATATTTATTTCATCAGGTACTCCGAGCGCAGTAACACCAAATGTGTGGGCATCACGATTGAGACCAGACCCGACTACTGTCTGAAGAGACACTTGAGTGACATGCTGGGCTACGGTTGCACCAGACTGGAGATCGGCGTACAGAGTGTTTATGAGGATGTTGCTCGGGATACCAACAGGTCAGCGTCTAATGCTTTTAACATCAAGGACTTTATTAGGAGAAGCCATAGAGTAAGATAAGTGGTGTTAAGACTTCAAGTGAGTCATTTTATTTGAGCAGTTTCTGCTCATGTTGGTAATTGCAGTTTACTTACTTGATTATGTGTCATTAAGGAATCGCCACAAGGCATCAGGAGACTTTGATAATCACTGTGCTATTAATTACACTGCCTTTATACCCTTTGGTCATCAATGTGCTTTGAAGGACGGTGGAATTTAACCTGTGCATAGATCCTTAACTTATAGCCAATAAAGAGGTATTTTTAATTCATCACCGAACAATGTGTATTGTTCTTGTTAGATTTATTTTCAGTGTTTCAGTCAAAACTTTGGGTGATTATATTTTTTGGAGATGCATGTGTCTTATGTTATTTTGCATGTGTATGTTCCTTTTCCAGAGGACACACAGTTCGGGCTGTGTGTGAGTCTTTCCACCTTGCTAAGGATGCTGGATTTAAAGTTGTTGCTCACATGATGCCAGACTTACCCAATGTTGGCATGGAAAGAGACGTGGAGCAGTTTATAGTGAGTACTTCCTGGATTAGTATAACAATGTAAAAATGGCATAAATTGTAAAAGGGATGGTCAACCCCCCACCACAAAAAAAACATTCTTAAACATCTTATAAAACCCTTATGAGATTGTTATAAACCGCTGAACCAAAAAGAAGATCTTTTTAGAAAGTTATAGATTACATTAGATTAGATTCAACTTTATTGTCATTACACATGTACAAGGCAATAAAATGCAGTTTAGGTCTAACCAGGAGTGCAATAGCAGCTAGTGCAGGATACAGGTATAAGTTATAAAGTGTAAATAAAGAAAAGCTATGGTGATATTTACCGTTGGATGAACAGATTTATAAGAGATGAATATATGTACAGTTTGCTATTAATAACCAGAGGTATGTAGATGGATATGAAATATTATACATGGTTTTCGCTACATTCATTCTTCCATGGTGGGGCGCCACGACAAACTTCATCCCGACATAGCTACATTACAGCTTCTCATTCAAAACATTTAATTTTTTTAATAGCGGGTAATATCGCACCTAAACGTATTAAAAGATGAATGAATTAAAACAGTGCAAACTTCTCTGTAACCGTAGGTGCATAGGTGCATGTTGCGTGAGGCCAGCAAACACGACATTTAGCCGTTTCACTTTACTTCAGGACACATTAATATGGCTCTGTGGGTCTATTAGAGACATTCATAAAAATATTCCTAGCAAATCTATTAAATGCTGGAGACATACTTGTTACATAAATACACTAAATCGCACTTCAGCAGCGTTTATTTGAGAGCGCACAAGAAGGTCTGCGCGCTCTTGAAGCAGCTTATATTTGAGGGGACGTGCAAGAAGTTTTGTGCACGAGCAGAGAAAATTGGTGCGCAAGCAAAGAGATCCGCATGCTGTAGGCTATTACATAAATGTGATCTCGAATTGTAATACTGCGCTCACGACATTTGTCACTGAAATAACGCCACAGGTAGGTGGTAGATCTGTGTAAAAAAAAAATAAAAAAATAAAAAATAGGTATGCTGCTATAGTTGGAAAAAAATCCTAGAGGAAACACTGTTATAGTATAGCCATTTATATCCATAGTGAGAAACAAACAAACTGTGGAAGTCAATGGCTACCAACTCCAGACATATTTTAGAGTTCTTGTGGTGTGTTCGACATAAGAATGAAAGTCAAACATGTTTAATTTGGACAGTGGAGGATGAGTAAAAGATGACAGAATTTTTTTTACTTAATACTTTTGAGATTTAGCTCATTTAAGGTATCATATTTTTTTTGTGTGTGGAATGTTCTTACTGGTCATCCTACTGGATATTTTTATGTGAAAATGAGAAAATTCATGATAGTTTACTTAACATTGAACCTGTTCTCATCATTTACAATATTTCATTTTGTTCCATAGACTTTTTTCTTTTGTTTAGCAAAATGTAGACTTGAGAAATAACAGAAAACACCATTGAAATATCATTAAATTAGCAAATAAAACTCATAGACTTATATACATTTTTGTTGCAAAGTAAAAATGAATGGTGTTCTTTTGAACTTTCTATTCATCAAAAATATTAAGAGCCACAATTATTTTCATTATTGATGAAGTAAGAAATGTTTCATGCTCACCAAATCAGCATATTAGTATGATTTCTGAAGCATCTTGTGACACTGAAGACTGGAGAGGTGATTGCTAAATATTCAGCTTTACCACGACAGGAATAAATCACATTTAAAACATAAATGGGAAGCTTGTTTGGATTCCAATACTGTTTCACACTATTACACTATAAATATTGTTTCACAGAATTTTCAGATTTTTGCATCCAAGTTTTTATTTATTTTTGATCACATAAATGCAGCCTTGGTGAGCAGAAGACACTTTTCAAACGGTGCAAAAACGTTTTGATAAGCTTTCCAACCTAAACTTCTATGTACAACAAATATTAGCCTCTGGTTTTTGTGTCTCATAACTGTGTTAATTTATTTATTTATTGTTTTTTTTTTAACAGTCAAACAGATTCATTTACAGTGAATAACAATTTAAAGGGTTCACCAATAAATGATCATTCTGTCATTATTTACTCATCCTTTACTTGTTTCAAACCTTTGAGTTTCTTCGTTTGAACCGAAAATAAGATATTTTGAAGCAAGAAAATACACAAAAAAAGATATTTTTAAACTATGTAAACAATTGACTTTCATTGTAGGAAAATGAAATACTATGCAAGTCAATGGTTTCCATGGTTTAAACTTTCTTAAAAATATATTTTTTTGTGTATATTCTTGCTTCAAAATATCTTATTTCCTGTTCAAATGAAGAAACTCAAAGGTTTGAGTCTTTTGTGGTCAACAGAAAATAGAAACTCAAAGGTATGGAAAAACTTGTGACTGAAGACATACAAAAGTTTTCTCACAATTTACTCAGAGTACTTGCACTATACCACAATGATATTTTATGGTGTTTTTTTTTTTCTTTTTTTCTTTAGGAAGACAATACTTAACATTCTTAAAGTTTCTTTTTGGTGTTCCCTTGAATACAATAACAATGCAAGGGTGAGGAAATAATGACGCAGTTTTCACTTTCATAAGTGTCACTTCAGTAATCACGCTTAAAACCGTTTCTTCAAATAAGACTTAACCATAAGCTTCAAAAGGATTATGCGTAGTAGTACATTGTAATTCAAGGCCTTGCTGCTTATAACTGTTTATTTTGTAAGCTCTTTTAATGTAAATGAAGTGAGGAGCTGAGCGGCAGGCAGCCCAATCCTCATGCATTTGGTTATTTAAATGCACAGAGTTATCTCTGTAAACCTCACAGGATATGCAGGTGGTTTACAAAATGTCACTTTCATCAGCTGAAGGAGTTCAATTAATCAACGTTTCTGTGAAAAAGCTGTCGGGATATCCGAAATTTCCATTTAGCTTTCAGATGCTCTATTAACTTTGACACTGGAAGTAACTGCTGAGCCATTTTCGTCATCACTGCCCACAGGCATCCGCGTTAGAAATGAAACTAGAAAATATCTTTAGAAGGTATAAAGTGGAAAAATGTATAGCAAAATGAAATGATTTTCTAAATCACACAGCCTTAGAGGTAACACTTTACTTGAAGGGGGGTTCATAAGACTGTCATTAAACTTTTAGAATGATGACATGGAATAAGGATTTTATACATGTTTATAACAGGTGTCAGGTGTAACATTCGCTCAGTTATGAGATTTTAATTGCTAAGATGATATTGTTTATGACAACTTGACATAAACAAATACATCACGATCTGTTTTTGTCTGTCGTGACAACTTGACATTATCAAGACAACGTAACTTGTCATAAGTCTGTCATAAACATGATGGAATCGTCATGAAGTCATTACACTCAAATTACTTTTGCTGCTCGTTCAAACTACTTATTTAAAATAAGTTAAAACAACACAATTCTTAAGGTTTTTTTAAAGACAACTTAATTGTTTTATGTTCAATCTACTACAATTTGTAAAAATGATTAAGTTAAATTAATTGATTTGTGTTTGGACAACATCAAGGAATTGTGTAGAATTGTGTTTTTACAGTGCACAGATATTTAAGGAATTTAATAACACCGTCATTACTACTACTAACTACAGTGGTACAGGCTGATTTTGTAATTAAAATTACATTTAAATTTTAATGATACTGTTAAAAATCTTCAATAATGTGACTAAAATCGACATACTCCGCATGTCTTAATTCGATTTCTGTTTTGTTCGATTATTACTCTATTCAGATTAAGGTAATCAAAAATCACTGTTCACATGGTAGACTCTTAATCAGAGTTTTGTCTTTATCATATTAAAATTGGATTATTGGTGTCCATGTAAACGTACTCAATGTCATCTTTGGAATTTAAAGGGCACCTATGGTAAAAAATCTACTTTTCAAGCTCTTTGGACAGATCTGTGTGTTGGTATAGTGTATAGACCGTCATACTGGGGTGATATGAACACACCCAGTCCTTTTTTTTCAATTTAACTACAAAAAAAAGGGTCGGCCAATTGGAGCTGTTTTCAAATCTATCGAACCATTACGTAGGTGTGCGATTCCCCCCGCCCACCGAATTGATTGACAGCTGTGCGCATTAACATGTTCCGGTAGTCGCGTGTATATGTCAACAAGACCAGGCAGACATACGCAAAGCAACCGGGAATAAAAGGTCTGTTCTGTTCGCTAGGATCAGCAATCATCATCAAATGTGATTAAGAGTAAGTTTCACATGTTTAAAGTGTTTTAAAACTAAATTACTGCGTTTTACTTCAGCTTTACTTCATCAGCACAGCCGCGTGTCAGAACAATTATAAAAGAAGACGCTTCAATCCCGGTTTGTGGAAGTTAAATCAGGTTTATTTTGTACATTAGCATAACAGATATCCACACTTGAGGTTAGCCTCAACTAGGCTAAGCGCGCTCTGTCTGTCTGCCTGCCTGCGTGTGTGTGTGTATCATCTGCGGTGTGTGTGTGTGTGTTTGTGCGCGCGCGTTAACTTTGTAACGATATTGTGTGTGACTCATCAATGCAACTTCACAATACTGATTATTAAAGGTTAGTTCTTACTGTAGTATCTCACAAACGCTACGTGAGACCTCCTTCCTTTAAGTCTGTCTGTTGTCTGACGCAGCTGAGGGAGGAGGCATGTAGAAACAGTGGGCGGGAAAGAAAAAGCTTAAAGGCGCAGTACGACAAAACCACCCCCTGCTGGAAATCAGTATAAAACAGCATCTTGTAAAAGGTATAATGAAAAATCTGATGGGTATTTTGATCTGAAACTTTATATACACATTCTAGAGACGCAAAAGACTTATATTAAATCTAAAAAAAGGGGTAACCTAGGTGCCCTTTAAAATGACATGACTGAGCGAATATCTGTGCTAGGGTTGGACGATATTGGAAAAATTTGATATTGCGATATTTTATTTTAATGCAATATGAATACAGTTTCACAAGATGGTTTGAATAACACTATTTGACAGTTTTC